ACGTCTATTTTCACAATTTCGATACAATAGAGATTTCGCTTCAAGGAGTTGTAGAGTCCGCGATACGTTCTCGAGAAGTTCTGACGAGTCAAATGTCAGATGTGAAAATCCGAAGAGACGGAGTATCGTTACAAGGATTTTCTCAGAGATGGACATTTATAGTGATTCTCTCTGGTTCAAGTGAGATCGCGAGCCAGAGTAATATTTTTCGACCAATCTCTCGTGAGACCGTCGGGGATGTCCGAGAAAAGTATTTTAGTCATAAACTTGACGGAAGATCGCGTTGCGTCCACTTGACGCGAGCGCTTGCTGCACGACGAGATGCTGGGAACGCGTATGCGGGTGTCGCTGTCGATGCAGGACTCGGAGATGTACAAATAAAGCGCCTCTCGCACTCTCTCGCCTCTCGCCAAGTTACGGTAATTATTTTAATCAATGCCGTAATAAGGACGTTGCCGACAAGCATCGCGCCACGAACAATCGCTTCTTACACGCATTAACGAACTGCACGAGGAGCTCTCCCTCCGCGACGCGCGTTTATCCTTTCCGAACGTATCGCTAACTCACGCTTCGTGCAGATGGAACGGCTTCGACGCGAGTGGAGTTATGAATGGAATGGCGGGTACGACACGACACCGGCACGCATCGCGCGATGGCATTAATGCATATCGCGGTTGCGTGTGCAACCACCGTCGCGGAATTACCGTGTATAATTTCTGTCTATTCTTCTCGAGAGATTGTCACGCGAATTTTTGGGGTCTGCGGCTCTCCGTACCGAGGCCTAAAACAATTATAAAATTTTACACGCTTTCCGAGATACTCTTTTTACAACATTCGCGGAATATCAAACGGCTTTTCGTCTAACAATAAGTGCGCGAGACCGGCGGAGAGCACCTGGCTGCATATCGCCTCGGTACGTTTTGCATAACCACCTCGCGTGGTCGCCGCGCTGTCCTTTTCTCCTTTCGCTGCGAGCAAAAGGCAGAGAGCAATTATCCGCTCCTCGAGAGCGCACGCACTCTCCCTACCGAAAGGGTTGCGTGCGCCGCGCCCGCCCGGCGGGTTCGTTGAACCGGCGAGAGTGGCTGCGAATAGCTGCAGCCACTTTGCGCGCTCCGCACAACCACCCTTCTACACGGCTCTTCCTCCAACTTTTTTCCCCCGTTCTCTCAAATGCTCGCGTACATCGGTAATCTCTCGGTTTTGTTTCTCGGCGGGAAGGATGTCGAAAAAAAGGGGGAAAAGACTCGAGAAAGAGAGAGAGAGGAACGAGGGCAAGCGGAAGGGCACTCGGGAAGGGTAGGTGGGTGGATGGGTGCAGTTGGTGCGGTATCAAAAACAAGGAAAGCCTTTGTCGCCGGGTCCCCGCGTGCGGCGGCGGGCAAGGGCAGACGGAATATAATGGGGCACGTGTTCGGCCGAGCTGCGCTAATGACACGGTTTCGCGGAGCTCTCGATGCCGTATTGTCCCCGCGAACTCTTTTATGCCGCCTACCGTCGTTTTCGCCGCATTGTAAAGCCGCGCGCTACGTGCTTGTGTTCGCGCGGTCTATCAGGCTCCCTCCGTTTCTCTCGATTTCCTCGTTATATCTGCTCGCGCGCGCGCGCGCGATTCCCCGGGGAACAATAGCCGTCCCGCGATTGTCCGAGAGGTCTGTCGATGAAGCCACCGGGAGTCGATAAGTGCTCGTGCACAACGAGATGAAGAAACGAGGAATTTGACATATGGAGTAGGGAATTAAATCTCGACCTATGAAGAGTCAGGAATTCCTTCTTCCTTTGTTGCGAACGCGTGGCTTTCCAAAGATCGGAATTTAATTCCCGAATTCCTTACATTTAATTCCTCGTTTCTTGTTTCTCTCATTGCGCAAGATCTACGTTGCGCAGAGAATTAATTTAATTCCCTGCCACACGCTCTACAAGTCAATCAGTGAATCATCACTGAAAACAGTGAATAAGTCACTGATTTGCAGGTGTAAGTATACTACTTGCAGTGGTATACTTGTAAATCAGTGACTAACGGAGTCGAAATTTTGGTACTGTTTTGACACTTTTAAGGATAATCTACACCTACTTAGCTGATCGATACACCTACATAGACCAGCGATTACCTACTTTGATGACATTATACTTTTTACTTCTCCCTTGAATCTTTAAATTGTTCTTTAAAAGGATCTACTTTAATGCTAAATTGGCAAGAGTAGAAATTTCCGACACTATCGGTTTTAAAGTAGGAGTACATTTTGTACTTGCAGTTCGACCTCTTTTACTCTGTCTTAGGTCCTATCATATAATAGAATTAAAGGTTCAGCATAGGGCCAAAATTTCGACTCAATGAATATATTCATTGTTTTCAACGATAATCCACTGATTGACTTCTAGAGAGTAGACTGATCGTGGAATTAAATCCTCGCCCGCTAGATTCTTGGCAAATGTACTCTGTAAAAAAAATTACCTGCTGTTAGACGTAAAACGTGCCGAAATATAGTACGCGTATCGGCAAATAACGTTCCTCCGTGCAACCGGTTTCCGTACTGCCTAATTTAACATGTTTGCAGAACTCGCCGGGATATTTGCGGTCCTTACGTCTCGCAGGGGCGTAAATAACATTGCAAATATCACGGATGCTTAGCCGTTTTTCGTACCGTTTAGGCGCTCGCGCGATTCCCGAGCTCTAAGCTGACGATTAGCATACATTTTCGGCGGCGCGGCGCGTATTTGAGGTATCGCGTGTGAAAAATCGCGCATCTGCTCGCTCCCTCGCATCTCCTTATTCGGACACGTCGGGCGTGCTCGCGTGCATAGACGGTGCGCGAGCGTGTCCGTCCGCGCGTTCGCCCATTTGCGTCGAACGGGTACTACGCGTCGTTTATCGCGACGTGCGTGCGTACGTATGTACGTACGTACGTGCGTACAATCAGGGCCGGTCCACGACATCGTGCCCCCTTGTGCTATGATTTTTTCGGAGCCCCCCTCCCTTACGTTTTCCCAACTACTTGCTAAAAATCAGTCGACGAATTATCACTGAAAACAATAAATCACTGTTTTGCAGTTATAAGTGTACCACTGAAAATCGCATCCACTGATACACCTTATCCAAATTAAAAGCTCGTTTTGGTGCATTATGACAACCATATCGCAAGTTGCATGGATCAATATTGTGTCTATGAGAACTATAATACATTGTTAGGTCAGCCGTAACTTAACATAGCTGGAAGAATTATAAAAATCTGGTTGGCTCCTGAAATGACTATAAATTATAGTAAGATTGTGGTAACTGCAACCATTTTTGTTTTCTATCGGTGCAGTAATCGATTAAAGTAAAACATGGCACTCTTTTTAGAGTTGGAGAATCGACCCGAGTAAAAAGTGAATAACGGCACTCTTTCAAAAAGTGAAATTTCACTCCATTCGGACTGGCAGTATATTATTTCTTGGAGCGAAATCTCACTCGAAAAAAATGTAGAGAGTGTGGATCCGGCACTGCCGGTAGAATACGCGCGCACGCGCTCACAGGGGGAAATCGCGAGACCGTGGAACCGTGCACGTGTTTACGGTAACTTCCCGTGCGCCCAGGCCACGGGTGCATAATAGGCATATTTCGATGGAGGAAAGGGTGTCCCACATCGCAGCGCTAACGAGCTAAATTCCTGCCGCCGGTCGTAGGTGCGCGTTGCAACGGCGATGCGTGGACGAAACAACGACCGGCGACGGAATCGCGGCCTCCTCGTGCGAATCGGCCTTGAAATGACGACGTGGCGGAGCAATTAATAATAAGCTGTCCGAAGAACTGACGTTGCTAAAAAATGAAATTTATCAATGGCCCGTCAATTCCCAGGAGGATGCGACGAGATGCGCTTAAGCGACTCGCGTTGCGTAAGCAATTATTATTATACGCATCCTTGGAGGAGATTCGCAATTAGGGAGACGGGCGGCGGTCGTTAAAATATACGAAATATAACAAAGGATAAACGCGATATGATTACGCAAGGTACATTGATTAATGTAATTGTTGCAAGTTCCGGCGGGCACGGAAATAACGCTTGTAATTACGGCCTCGCGTTTCCCACACCGTTCCGGCACGAATTACATGCGCGCGCGCGGCATTTTATTCGTACATCGCTACATTGTGCACGCGTTATTGTGCTATTCGCGTATAAATTGTGGTCCGAGAGGTCTCGCGTAAACCTTACCGCGCGGCGATTCCGCGCGGCGCTGCGCTGCGCGAGAAAGCGCCTGACGCAATTGTCGGATAATCCGCGTTGTATCTCGAAGACATTTATGATGGACAGGCAGAATGAACGCGGTGAAAAGGAAGCGATGGGAAATTCATAACGGCGCGTTCCTGAAACAAAGCGGGACATCATTTTTCTCTCTCTCTCTCTCTCTCTCTCTCTCTCTCTATTTCTATCTCTATCTCTCCCCATGCTTCCTCCCCGCGCACTGGGTTGAATACGTGGGAGTCAGGGCGTTTTCAGCACGTCAGCACACGCCGGGTGATGGAAAGTAGGATCCAAGCGCGCCGCACGATCTCGCTTGTCGAATCAAATGGAGATTGCCAGACGATTGAAAAAGAAAAGGACGCGCGTGATGCCCGCTTCTGAACCGATGCAGATTAACATTAATCTCGATTTAAATTACGTTTTTCCAATTTTTAAGGCTAGAGAAATATACTAAGTAAGCTAAACCGAGATCAAAGTTAATCGGTAGAAACTGGCATGAGGCGCTCGCGCTAACGCGGAAAATCCCGGACGTGACGCGAGACGAGATGCCTGCGGGCTAAAGAAAGCGTATCCGAATCGCACGTGGAACGTTTAAGAGAAGGTACTGCTTTTTTTTTTCTCTTCAAATAACGCACCCGATACGCTCTCGCGTCGCACAGCGCCTCCGTTTCGTCGCTAGACATCTCGTTCGCTCGTCTAGTATCGGTATATCGCCGTTACATTATTAGGTCATATCGGATTCTTTCATTTTGTGAACGTATTCTATTTTTGCTTCAGACACGCCTCTATCACCGATGGGGCCTTCGTCGCCGAGTCAGGAAGGTCTATTCACGGATCTTCGGCTTCTGTCCTTGGAGAAGCAGCTCAATATCGAACTGAAGGTAGGAATCCGCCTGTTGAAGACAAACTATTGAATTACGTAGCGTTTCAGAGGCCGCGCGTGCAACAGACAGTCTAAAACACGAGGAGTGACATCGCGCGATATCGAGGCGTCGCGTTATCAAGATTTTTAGCAGCCAGTTGTCGCGATATCGGGTAGCATCGATAACGAAATAACGAATGTTCCGCCTCGGTAATAATTGTACGTCGCCAGTTCTCCGATAAATAGGGACGTGGATTAATAAATTCTCGCGCGGAGAGTCGTTGTATGTACGTGCAACGCTTTCCGAGTGATTACGCAGAACTTGAGTAGCTCTCTTTCACTTTTCTTGTATCAGCCTCGCGTGAGTCAGCGCGGTGAGTCGCTCGCAGTTTTTCTCCTACTAAAAATAATCTCTCGTTACATCACGCGGGGATTTGAAATAATTAGACTAACGCGCCCGGACTCTCCGCGGTTATTACTTGTTAGTGCAGAAGCGTTAATTGTCTGCAATTATACCTTCCTCCTCCCTTCTTTTTTTGGGGGGGGGGAGACAAAACGGTTGATTTTCTTGTTTGCGCACACTGGATGCGCCAGATCGAGAGGAAAATCCTCAATGTCGGCCTCAGTAGATGCATAGAGATCTAATAAACGCATGCAAAGTGTCATTTGCTTTATGCCCCCGGCAGGTCAAGCAGGGTGCTGAGAACATGATACAGAGTTTAACGAGCGGCCATCGCGACAAAAAACTGCTACAGGAGGCTCAACAAATGCTAGATGATTCCCGCGCCAAAATCGAGTTCCTACGTATGCGGATCATGAAGGTGCGCCAGGCACGGCAGCAGCAAAAGCGCGGCGATGCGCCACCGCCGAACGGCGAAACGGCTAGCAACAAAGGTACACGTCGGCTGTTATTAATAACAATCTGCAGAGCGAGCCTGCGAGCAAGAAGATGATTGAATATTTAAAAATATTTCTCTACATGATATGTAGTTTTTCAAAAACGACCTATTTAAAAAAACTAACGACGTTTCGGTCCCGGATTTGGGCCCTTTTCATGTAATCTGTTCACACAACTGTTACTTATCTCATATCGTTCGTTTGGCCAATATCCGACGTTCAATCCGACATCTCGTCTAACACACATCACTCGACACTTTTACTTGTGTCTTACAATTAATAATGCAACTTCAATCGACTCTTCAACCAAAGAGTGCAATCATATTTTGACTAGTATCTTATTAACATAACGATATTGGCCAAACGAACGATATGTGTGGACAGATTACTTGAAAAGGGTCCAAATCCGGGACCGAAACGTCGTTTGTTTTTTTAAATAGGTCGTTTTTTAAAAACTACACATCATTGGCTTTATACTACTGGCGATATCAAATCTATCTGTGAGTTATTTCTCTACAAGTGCGAAACAATCGATTCTTCAATATTAGGTTTGTTTTCTGTTCCTGCACTGGTGAACTGGTACAGTAAGCTGGAATGGGAAAAAAATATGTTCGTCTTACTCCAATTTATTGCACTAGTTCGCCAGTGTAGGAACAGAAAACAAGCCTATTGATTGCAACGAATTTACACGTGAATTGCACCAAATTTGCGATATTAATTTGCGGCTGAAACGCCGCGTTTATTTAAATATTGACACGCACTGTCGGAAGTCGCGCTAAAATTCCGTCGGGCGTGCACGCGTATCGTCAGCTTTATCGTTGTAATTGTTTGCACGATCGCATACAGTTAAGCCGTACGCGTTTCATTGTTAACGTGAAGTTTACGGAGCGAAGACAGTAAGCTGACATTTACCGCGGTAATGAAACCGTTTCAGAACGCGGTATACATTCGTATCTCGGCGAGGAATTTGTGCCGTGTATTCAGTATAAAAGTACAATGTTGCGGGGTGCGTTGGTTATTGTGGTAAATGGCGTTTCTTGGAAGGAAGCGCTTTGTCCATCGAAGGATACATTACGCGGGTAATGGTTTACTTTTTCTCGCTATGAAGCGTGGGTGGATACGCGCGTTACGCAAGAAGATAATCGCGCGCCGTTGATAAATGAAAGCTCTGTAACGAGTGGCGGCCGGCGTCGCCGCGAGCGCGATCTTTTTTTGTCGCGAACGTAACGCGAATAACAAGGCGTAATGCTTTTACAGACAGGTACGAGCCCAGCTTGGAGCTCGCGTTGGAGGAGAGGGTGGAGGAGCTGCGGCATCGATTACGAATAGAGGCAGCTGTCGTGGAGGGTGCCAAGAACGTGATACGTCTTCTACAGAGTACAAGTGCCAAAGCCGCTGATAAGAAGGCCTTAACCGAGGTACGTGGCCATTTCTTTTCCTCCTTTTAATTTCCCATCCGTCAGCTTATCCGTGGAAACGGAAGTCTCTGCGCGTGACACGCAATCTGCGAGAGGTTCAGCGTGTACGTACAGCGTTAAAGGAAGCCATTTACGTCACCTCGTCGACGGAGCTGTTTCGAAATGATAATAACGAGGAAATTGTCCGACTTCATCTCTCTCTCTCTCTTTCTCGGCGAAGATGTAAAACGCGCGGGCAATTTCCGTTTCTGGCGCAACAAGGCTCTTTTAATCAGCAAACGCAGCATATAAGATCCGGCTGCCTTATTCCAATCGAGAGTAGCCGTCTTGGTTTCTCTTTTTAAATCAAGCGTGCTTTGATATTATAAAAATTGTCAGGCTGTTACCAGTTGACCGGTCGATTTCTCTGTAAACCGGCCAATTTATAACAGCCCTCGCGAATCAGCGTTGGAGGCTGAGCGAGCGAGCGCGTCCGCCGCGCCAGCCGGTACGAAAACGACTTCTCGCCGACAGGCGGATCGCGCGGACGACGTCGGCGGCGTAAATGCACGTCGACGCGGTGGACCCAGGAGGGTCGGTGGCGGCGTATACGCGCCACTCTCAAAATAGCTCTTCGAATGCCCCCCCGCGCCACCCCGCCGTTTCTCGTGACGCCTTTTCGGGTCGCGCTTAGTTACCATCTCCCGAGGCGAACTGGCATCACCCAGTATCGTAAGCACCGCGATAAACCGACGACATGTGCACCGGCCGACTGCGAGGGAGTCCGTCAAGTGGACATTCAAGAGGATATCGACCGCGCGTTCAGGATAATCGCGGCCTGTTAATTATGATCTGAACCCGAAGACTGACACGAAGCCGCCCGCTCTCTCTCTCGCTCTCTCTCTCTCTCTCTCTCTCTGTCTGTTTCTTTCTCTCTCTTTCTCTTTCTCTCTCCGCCGCGCTTCTCCTTCCGAACGCTGCGCTCCAAAGAAGACTGACGTCCGCTTCAGAATCGATTTAAGCTGTCAGGATACTTGTATACTAACTGGACGCTCAAACGTCTCTGACCGAGACAATTATAAACAATCCGTTACTCAGCGGAAGCTCGAATCTCGTTTGATTCACGGATGCTCGGGTGTGTGTAACGTACGTGCGAGTCACTCAGGGATCGAACCGATCCGCATTTCTCTCAGATCGTGCTAAATGGTTTCACGCTCACGTGGGATAACCCGTGTTTCGAGCGTCCTCGACGACACCGGCGATCATCGGGACTGAATAGTCTACGATTGAAATTCTTAAGCGACTCGCAGGGTGTACCTCGTCCGACCGTGCGTCATCGTCGCGCGCGATTGTCGCGTCGACGAAAGGCTGCCGCCTTATTCGAAATATTAAATTGTATTCTTAGTGCTACCGTACGTTGCTCCAAATTTACATCGTGCTAATTATACACGTCGTCGCTCCATACCGCTCCGGTTTGTTGCCACGCGAGATACGAAAACCGCGACGGTTGCAACAACCGCACCGAGTATTGTGCAATACGCGACGGCGAAGCCGCGCGTTATAAACAACCGTCTCGCGCGATCGTGCTGGAAAAAAGTACTTGTTACGCGGGGAACCGATTGCGACGAGTCGCCGAGCCACGTCGAGGGTGTCCGGCGCTGAAGATCTCGCGACGTTTAACGCGGAAAGAAACGCACTCGGGGCTAGAAGACACGAGGACCCGAAAATAGATCGGTGGCGCGGATGCAATACCGCGGTATTACCATCCTTCCGGGAAAAACTGCGCCACGGACGAGATCGCGAGGCGCGAGCGGCTCAGCTCTCAAATAGACATTATTATATAAGATTTCTTTTCGATATACCGCGGAATCGGATGAACGGGGGTCGCGGGTGTTGCGCGCACGTTCGGGCCGAGAGACGTGAAATCCATGAACAGAAGAAAAGCACGGGCGAGAGAAGCGCATCATCATCTCCTCGGTAGGGTGGAGGGGTGGGCAGACCGCTCGGACGTGTTCTCCTGGCAGCGGTGCCGATTGGATAACAATAATGTCGTGCGGTGGATGAAGGCGCAGCGAGGGCGGCTGTGGGGGGAGAGAGGCGCGAGATGTACGGACGTCAGGATAAATCGGGCGACGGCGGAGCGGGCCAGGTGCCGCCGTGGCTCGTGCGCGCCGAAGTCACGATTCGCCACGGCGACGCGGTGACCTCCGAGACCGTGCAAATGCCCCCGGGCACCACCGCCACCACCGACGCGGGCGGCATCCGCATGATATGCCGCTGGAACACGGGCGAGCCCGACTCGACGGCGACGCCGCCGACGTCGGGCGGCACCGCCGGCGGCTTCGGCTTTCAACGGGGCAACATACTCTTCACGTCCACGCCGCCCGAGAGGTCGTACACTCTGCCGCGCTCGGGCTCGTCCGGCAACGACGACTCCGTCTCGTCCAGGGGCCGCGCGAACGTTTCCGATTCCGGCTACAACAGCGAGCGGGTCTCGTCGCAGACGTATTCGACCTTGCCGGCGCGACGCCCGTCCCAGCAGTACAATCGCCGATGTAGGAGCACGTGCAGCATCGTGCTCTCCACCGCGGGCGCCGACAAGTCCACCCCCGCCGAGTCCTCGAAGGCGACCGCCCCGTTCGTCGATCAGTGGCACCGTCGACCCTCGCACCAGCACGTCTTCTCGCCTCATCAGTTCAGCGCGGTCCCGGAGGTCTGCGAGGATTGCGCGGAGGGCAGCGCGTCGAGCGCCTTCACCACGCACTTTTGTACTCGCGTCGCGGAGAAGAGTGCGAGCAGCGGCGGCGGCGGCAGGGCCACCGCGGCGAGCAAGGACGCGGCGTCGCAAACCACCGACATCGAATCGGTGCGCTCGTCGTCGACTGTGAGGAGCAGCGGAATTAGGACGAGATCTGACACCGGTGCTCACCAGCGTGGCGAGCGGAAACAGGAGGTGAGTCGCCATTGTGGATTCTGCGATAAGTGCGTTCGCTGAACGAATCTCGAGTGCGACGGTCGTCTTCTTTCAGGAGGAAATCCGATCGCCCCCGGCGTCAGTTGGGAACACCAGCACCGGCCCTCCGGCCGATCCAGAGAGATCGGACTCGTCCGCGAGGGAGGACAGCAGCAAGCGCAAGTCGCGGACGGTGCACATCGACGTGTACTGCACGGGCTCCGACGACGACGTCAGCACGGACGACACGATCAGCGAGGACGAGCGCAGCACGCCCATGACCGTCTACGAGAACGAGAACGTCAGGGTCACTCACACTCAAGCGGCGGACGACCTGCCGCGGGGATTTCAAGACGCGAACGCATTTCTGAAGCGCAGCGCCGAACGGCGGTGCGCGAGCTTCAGAAACGCGCCGATGAGGATGCCCTCGTTGGCCAGCTCGAAGGGATACGACAGCGACGAGGTCCTCAGCTCCCTTTACCCTTCGCGATTCAGCTCGTACAGCGGCATACGGGACCTCGATTCCGTCCCGTGGTCCACGGTGTCGTCCAGCACGGCCCTTTCGCCGTGCGATTACGACTCGACGACCATGACGTCGTCGAAGGACACGTTCTCCGATATCGAGTCCCTCGTCAACAGTAAGTCCGGCTTGACGCCCTGCGACAGCTTCGAGTACGCCAATGTCACGGATCGCGATAGAATACGGAGAATGGACGTCTTGGCGAAAGCCAGCTACGAGAGAAGCAGAACCTGGCGATCGCCGCAAATCGAACGGAAGCATCTGCTGCAGAACAGGAAGATGAGGGAATACTTCAAACAGCACAAGATCGATTGGTCGTCCGGGGAGAGCGCCGAGGATTCCGACGAGAGCGGAGCGGTCGGCTGGAGCTTCGTATCCGGCGATGACAAGTCACGATTCGTTAAGAGAGACTCGATCGCCCGTCGCGCGGGCAAGGGTCAAACGGAGGAATCTAACGCGACTAATTTAGACTCGGGGCGTAGAAATGCTCAAGAGGAACTGCCACAGTTTGCGGCGCGCAGAGATTACGTTCCGTATACGAATGTTTTGCGCGATCGTATCGGTCCGTTCGGCTCGAAGAGCCCGTCTCCTCTTCCCTCGACCATACCCTCCCGCGTAACGTCTCCCTTCACCACGCCGTACGGAGAGAAAACTGATCACATCGTGAAAGCATCGATGTTTGGAGCAGTAATCAGCGCGTTCCGTAAACCTGGGCATCACATAGGCCCCTCGAAGAATCCGACCTGTTCGTGCGAGCATTGCCGACGATACTTCGAAGACGCGGCGAGAGGACGATCCTCTTCGTTGAGCGAACTCGAACGTCACCCGGCATTCAAGTCGCGAAAAGAGTGACATACCGATTTCATTAGCTTCCGAGGATTTTCAACATATTGATTCTTCAGCTTTTACGAGACGACAAATGCTTTCCACTTCCTTTATTTATGTATCGTAAGATTTGTATGCGTAAAAAGAAAATTAATTGCGTTCCATTGCATTCATGGCGATTGGGGACGATGTAAACTTGTATATTGTGTGCTTAATTTATATTTCTTTAAGTATTCCATGTATTCTATATACGTATAGCTTTTTTATCTAAATTAATTATTACAGAGAGGGCTGCTTAAAAGAAATACATTCTGCTGAAAATTGAGCATTTATAAAAATTAACAAAGATGTATCATATCGATTGCATCGTTAATAAATATTATGACTGATATCGTTTGTGTGTCTACGCGTGTGTACAATTCCCGATTTACATTAAACTGATGTTACATAAAATACCTTGTCGCTTATGACACGTTCTTACATAAACCATAAATTACTACAGGCTCAAGCAAGCCTCGCTGAATCCAGTAGAAAATTGGACCTACTCAGATTGTCCCTCGAGCTCAGAAGGCAAGAGCTACCTCCCGACAGCGGTACCGCAGCTCAGTTAAAGAGAGAATTAGCTAGCGTACAGTCGGCTAGTCCAGTTCCTGTTACATACACATCATTACAACCGTTTCGCGGTCCTTTGGAAGGTAAAGCCACTGTACCGGCTTCGGTATCGAGATGCGCCGCTGTTACAGGACAATTAGAGGTACGTGTCCGAGTATACGCAACTAAATGACCGACGGTGTTACTTCTTTGTATTACACGCTGCAATGTGTTTAGGTAAGATTAATGGGATGTCAAGACTTAGCAGAAGAAGTGCCTGGACGTACGAGGAGGGAACATCCTGCTAGTCCTGATTTACGTAGCTTCGTTAAAGGTGTCACGGGACGCAGCTCAAGCAAGTCATATAGCGTGAAGGACGAAACAAGCAGTAAGTTTTTGATATATTGAGAGAATAACATCGACATCTTTAAATCTGTTACTAATTATCGCTTCTTTTCAGACGATATTATGGCAGTTATAAAATTGGATAACCAAACCGTAGGACAAACAAGTTGGCGTCCATGTTCCCAACAAGCTTGGGACCAAAGGTAATGCTGATATCAATTGGTTAATTAATGCAATGCTCGATTGCCTTCATAGAGTGTCATGTGCCCTATAAAAACTTGTAGGTTTTCTATTGAACTTGATAAATCGAGAGAGCTCGAAATAGGCATTTATTGGAAAGATTGGAGATCTCTTTGCGCGGTGAAGTTTTTACGTTTAGAAGAATTCATAGATGACGTCCGACATGGCATGGCTCTACAGTTGGAACCGCAAGGCCTTCTGTTCGCAGAAATAAAATTCCTAAATCCAATGATATCGCGAAAGCCTAAATTGCAGCGCCAACGCAAGATCTTTAAGCAGCAAGTGAAAAACTTCCCAAGAGCAAATCAAATGAACATAAATGTTGCGACTTGGGGTAGGCTGCTTAAACGTTCGGCGCCTTCATTGCACAACTCCAGAAACTCTGAGAGTCCACCTTCAGGTAAGGACTCTTCAAGCTCGTCTATGCGTATAATGGCAAAATCTTGCCAAGGTATCTCATATACGTATTTCGATTTGCAGGACCACAACCGTTGCAACTTGTGTTTGATACCTCAGTAGAAGATAAGCCTGAAACTCCTGGCGAAGTGCCCAATCCGGAGAAAGGGGGATTGGGTGGCGCACGGCCTTTAGGCATGTCAACATCGAGTGGTAGTCCAACTCTGCCACGTCCTCCGGAGCATCCTCCCCCACCGCCACCAACTGTGGCAAAGAAACCTTCTACGCCTGCACCTACACCACCTCCCAAATTGGATCAAGAGGTAAGTCTTTTCATTTTTATTTATCATCTTTATATATGCGCGTTTTCTTATATATCATTTTTTATAAATTAAAACGCTCATGCGTATTGATACGCGATGATAAATGCTATTACGTTATACGTATTTGTCGATCTTTGCTTTTGATGTAAAGATACAAGACTGCTAATGTCGCAAATCATTATACCATTACATGGTGTGTTAGATATATCAAGAATTTTTATTATGCTACAAATAATATATTTTACTATACTCTCATATTTTTATGATATTATTTCTACTTTCAATTACTCAAGAAGATTGTAGTAATATGCATTAGAATCTGAGGGCTGGGGAATCTTGGTTATGGGACAAAACAGTTTATAAAATAAATGTATGATATGATAATTAGATACATTTCCTATAAAGTTATAGTTTCTAATGAATGTATACACATATATATATCTTGATGCGGCATGTTATCGGGTATATTATGTATTTCTGCAATTATAAGAAAGTAGTATTAGTTTAATTTGCACTTGCTTTAAGAGATCTGGTAGTTATTATACACAAATTCTTTATTAAATAGAGACATAGGTTTCCTGTTTTCTAGCAGTTGTATTATATCAATTATTTTTACAATTATATTTTCTTGCACTATTGATTCAAACAATATTACACTGTCCTTTCAATTTTTCAAAAGCAACAAGTCCAAACTCCCTATCACGATGATAAATCATAAGTCATTATTGAATAAATACATATTTAAAAACCCAAATTATATATTAGTTACATCATGCATATGTCCAGTTTAAACAATTCGATGCGCAACCTAAAATTTAGTGCAATTTCAATTAAGCAGTAGAGCTAAAGAGGTAGCAATGTAGTTGCAGAGCGCATTAAGGGAGTTTGATTTTCTGCACAACGAGGAAAAGGGCGGGCCTCAGGGTGCAATTTTGAGGCCCCTCGTGACAGAGCCCCGCCCTGTGCTGATTGCACCACCCTCTCCACGCACACCCTCGCCCCAACCTGTCGTCGAGTTTCCTGAGGATGAGGTACATGTCCTCCACATACACACAGCATTGCTTTGCTTGCTTAGTATGTCGCATGCACATACTGCAGGAACAAATATAATTCCCTTTTTGTAATGCTTCTATCTTATGAGCTATTTTATTTTTATCCTTATAAATGATCTCGTCTTATATACTTCTAATTATTACTTTATCTTCTTTTCGAATCTTTTATCTATGCATTGCATGTATTTCTAATTATATAATATTTGCATAGACATAAAACGAATAACCACATGCAAAACTTTAATAATTACAATATTGCAGCGTAATTTGCCATTATCTAAGATCTAGAGGACACATTCAAGTGTCTCGTCTCTATTTAACTAACATAATTTTTACAATCTTTTATATATAGTAATTACTGTTAATAAACCTACCTTTACAATAATACATTAAAACATACTGTCTTTCAGGTTGTATACGAAATGCCAGTTAGACCTCTTCAGTATAGAGACACCCACGAGTCAAGAAGGCATTCTCAGCTCACTGGTATGACTCTGGAAAACTTCAGACTGCTCTCCGTACTTGGACGTGGACATTTTGGCAAAGTAATATTGTCGCAATATAGAAACACGGGAGAGTACTTTGCAATTAAGGCCTTGAAAAAGGGAGACATTATAGCTAGAGACGAAGTGGAGTCGTTGCTTTCTGAAAAGAGAATATTCGAAGTAGCAAATACGACGCGCCATCCTTTCCTTGTTAATTTATTTGCGTGCTTTCAAACTGAGGTACCGATAATAATTCTCTAGTATTTTTAATTCAATTCGTAAGACAGGAGAGAATAAAAAAAGATGAATTTCTTTTAGGCACATGTATGTTTTGTAATGGAATATGCAGCTGGCGGTGATCTTATGATGCATATACATGCTGATGTTTTCGGGGAGCCACGCACTGTGTTCTATTCCGCTTGTGTGGTCCTCGGATTGCAATACTTGCACGAAAATCGTATTATTTACAGGTATATACATCATTCACTAAATAATCAGTAATATTTTTATATATTATATTTCATGGTACGCTTTATTTACAGAGATTTGAAATTAGACAATCTGCTATTAGATACGGAAGGTTACGTTAAAATCGCAGATTTTGGTTTATGTAAAGAAGGTATGGGATTTGGAGACAGAACCGGTACATTCTGCGGTACTCCTGAGTTCTTGGCGCCCGAAGTGCTGACAGAAACTTCTTATACGCGAGCTGTAGATTGGTGGGGTCTTGGAGTCTTAATATTTGAAATGCTGGTTGGAGAGGTAATATTACTGCTTTGAAATATTATACAGCTTGTTTTAAATATGTTTATATGGAATATTACATAAATATGTTATGTGTTTCAGTCTCCTTTCCCAGGTGATGACGAAGAAGAAGTGTTTGATTCTATTGTAAATGACGAAGTACGATATCCAAGATTCCTTTCTTTGGAAGCAATTGCAATCATGAGAAGAGTAAGTATCTTTGGTTTGCTACTTTTCTGCTTCTCTAATGTGAAACTTATCAACATGCATCTTCTATTACAGTTACTCAGAAAGAATCCAGATAGGAGACTAGGTAGCAGTGAAAGAGACGCTGAAGATGTGAAGAAACAAGCATTTTTCAGACACATAGCTTGGGATGATTTACTTCTAAGACGCGTGAAACCACCTTTTGTACCAGTAATCGTAAGTATCTGTTTAATTTATTGATGCATAAAATTTAATAAAAATTACATCTTTTGATGGGAATAAAACTTTAAATATCATTTGAAAATCAGAATTCATTTAATCTTTTTTTTTTCTAATGTTTTCTTACATGGAAATGTTTCTCCGTTATTAGCATTCAGTGGAAGATGTAAGTAATTTTGACGAAGAGTTTACATCAGAGAAGCCACAACTAACGCCTCCAAAAGACCCTCGGCCTCTTAGCGACCTAGAGCAGAGTCTATTTAAGGACTTTACTTATATGGCTGATTGGTGCTAGCCATAATGATTGGTGTCTCTTGAGGGAAAAATATCGACAAATTGAAGAAGAAAGTTGCTTCGTATATGGAACTTGCGCAGCTGTGGCATTTACACGCGCGTCTGTTTATCTGAGCAATATATATCATACATATGTCATTATACATCATGTATAGATTTTTTATTTTGGATACTATATTAATGATCACAGTAGGTACATTTACAAGAGAAATTTGTAACAACCAAAGTTGTAGAGTGTACATGAATGCAGCTCCACAAGTTGAGATCTATTCGTTAGTGAGACTAATATCTCGTCTACTTTCTCTGTAATCAGATGAGCTGGGATTGCTGATCATTATCAATAGTCATGCATATAACCAATTCTTCCTCAGATATTATCTCGAAATTAATCGAACACATCTTAAATATCTTCGGCTTGGCTAAGATAGCCAATACGGATAAAATCCATATTTATCTCTATGTTGTTTGGGAAAAACATCTGGGATTATGCCATTTTTGAATGCTAGTTTCTTCTCTTTGTTGCGACAACTACCAAGAAGCTGAAAACCTAAAAGATTTCTATTTTAATTTTTCGTTCTTAACGCGGACGGATATAATTCTGGTGCTCAATTGCTCATTGTCTGACGAACGGCTTCACTAACAATAAGAACCCTGAAACAAGGTATCTATTTTCTATAGGTTGTGAGACTCTACGGTAAGTGATCCATGGTATTCACCATAAGTTGGGTTGGGAGAACTGAAAAATAAGTTTAAAACAAATGCCTTCTTGTCATAGATTGAGTTATTCCCAGAACTTCCAGTGTACAGAAGTTTGGAAATAGTAAAAAACTTTTCAGCAATAGGTGATTTTTCTTTCTTTTTTGTTAATTGCCTGAAAGAGTTTGAGTTTTAAAGATATAATCTTAAGCCAAAACAGTGAAATAATAATTACAAAACTCAGGAGATGCATTTTGTAGCGCGACATCAATGAAACATTTTTTGAAAGTGAATTCGCTCACTTCAATCTTTTTAATAGTATAAATTGCATGTTAAAATTGACTTCCTGTATAGACATTCCAATCATTGAATCCTGGATCGCTGTTCTGGAGAAGAACTGTGTTGTGTGACGAATGCAGCTAAGCTGGTTTATTTACTACATACGGAAATCCGTCTTTTCTGAACCTTTCGATTTAGCTTTGGCAGTTCTTCATACGCTACAATTACAATTTTCTTAACTTTCTGGTTTCCCTAAAATACACTTTCTCCTGTTTAGTCTCCGTGATAAGTTGGAATGGTTTTGAAAACGTACGGAACGCTATGACTCACATGATGTGATTATGTGAAAATGTATGGTAAAGCCTTTAGAAAATAATATTTACCAAGAATCATATGCGCGAACTTTGCTCCAGTAACATTTTTGATCGAATCTCAGGTTTTTCGCCTAATGTTGAGTTGCACAGTTTTAGTAAATAACTGGTAAACATGAATGTACAATATCTGGTTTGATACGAAGTAATATTGTAAGTGAGTTCACGATCGACATATTCTTTAAAGTTAAAGGGTTCCGGTCAGTTTCTGCCAAGCAAAAGAGAAAACGATGAAACCTATTGAATCTTTCGAAAGAAGCTTTTTTCGCATATAAATGAGAGTAATCTTAGATTATATTTGCAGAAGTGATCTCCAAACACTCTGTCCTGTTGCTAGTATTAAATATGTATGGATGTCCTTTTGCGTGAAGATATATTATTTTCAATATATTTCGTTATCTATTATATATACCGCTATTATGTACAGTAATACATGCAATTACTCAAAGATTTTATATATCCTTATAGAACTTAAAGGATAATCATAATAATAAAAACAATATTCTAACATTCATTAAGAAAGCATAAAGTAAATCAAAATGTAGCTATACTTGCTCATGCTCATGTGATAAAGAATTGAATTTGAAATGGCGCTATGTATATGCAACAATAATGATCATATTGACATTAACATTCAGCGCTATAATTAAACTAACCATATATTGTCTATTATAATAATTGGAAATTTAATCCACTTATGTATAGCTAATTTTGCAAGATTATGGTGACATTAGACATATGAGCCCTATGACATCGTGTGAGGCAGCGCATTAATATTGTATATCAGAATCCTTTAGGTTCATTTAACATGTACCCCAATTATATTTGCTATATTTCATTATTTAGTTATGTACATTCATATTCTACTTTATAAGATTACTAGTTTATGTGCTTCATATCGTGTATATATAAATATATAACCAAATGTGTCGAGAGAATAATAATGAATGATATTTCTATGTTTAATAGCTGTTAGCGTAGCATTGTATGATCAATTTTAATTAACTTTACAAAAGAATACTATCATGAGACGTGTTTCACGTTTTACTACGAACATACAAAAGCGATTTTAATCTTAAAAGAACATGATCTGAAAGCTGTGTATAATATTGGAGTAGCTGTTAGATTTTACTTACGAAAAGCTTTTAAATTAATTTTCCTTCCAGTTATTGCGGAACCCTTCTTTCCGGATGCTATCACCTATATATTGTAGCTTTAGTATTTAATAATTAATCCTTTATAGGATTTTGATTGCTTTTAGAACTTCAACATATACACAATCTAAATGTAATCCATGGTACACTTCATCCATCTCTTAAAAAGGTGCCTACGATAATCGAACAAATTTTGATATATAATATGCAATAGAAAATTTTCTGGCTATTAATAAGAAACGAAATAATTCGATATTATATATATAATCTTTTTCACCTGTCTTTTATTTCTACATGTAGGTCTTATTGTTATTAGAATGGAAATTGAAGATTGAATTAGAAATTTTGTAACGGTGCCAATCAGGAAGGATATTTCAAATAGAGCTTGGTAAATTTTGTGTTTGTCTATTATGATATTCGTTTAATTTTATTTTAGATTCACTCAATCTGTCATACTATGGAACAATTGATATACAGTTAAATCGGATTTTGTTAATTGTGGATATTGACTATTATACTAAAATCTTATTATGTGAGATCGACCAAGTTTTATTTGCGATACTGCTCGTTTAAGGCGTAAATATGTTATGACCAGAATTATTTCTGAAACTTTAATATCAAACGTTATTATGAAAAGTTAACTGTGTCATTAGTGATAGATTCGAATATCTCGAGATCTAGTTGCCTTACTGCAATTATAAATTTATATATACATAATCATTTTCGTATCTATTTTATATATAATTCTTCTTATACAGCATAGTTCAGATCTGTAGAAAAGTATTTTAGGTGTTTCTAAAATATATTTAGATCTTGAATACAAAACACAACAGTGGAAGATTTGAAAGATACGGATAATTTTTAACGTGCCTGTTTTCTATTAATGTATATAAATTTTAAAATCCAACCTTTTTACATAATATACGGCTTTGAAATAAAGAATGTAAACCTCGTGAAAATTTATATTGTCGCATTTAGTAGTAAAACAGGCAGAGAAACATATGGCATATATACAATTTTTACAAAGCAATATGGCAATTCGAAATAGATTTTGCGCGATGGGGTGACCTAAGTTTTTCATTAATTTAACATGAAAATTACGTTTCGCGAAAAGTAACATTATTCTAGATTCTAGATATTCATTGACACGTGTATATTATTTTTACACTTTACGGAACAGAAAAATGCTATGCAATATCATTCTTTTTATGCTACTTTCAACTGCCTGCAATCTTTGAAAACTTTATAAGTGGTTTTGAATGATACAAATATTTTTACAAATAATACCGTTTTGTATCTTGCGTTTTACAATGTACTTGACACACATTATAAAATTGCGTGTGTGAACAAATTACTTTTCCCACTGATATTACACGCAGCTATTTGTAGAAACAAAATTGTATTATTTAATGATTCATGTGGAGTATATGTATGGTCCAAAATGCGATGATTAAAATTTTTCATGTACATATAAACATCCTATAGTGTTCTGTAGATAGAATCTACTCTTGATTCATAAAGATCTTTTATTAGATGATTATTTCGTTACATGTATTTTTTATAACACATAATTATATAGCAATTACTAGATGTAAGTTTGGTTAAAATGTTCGCTATATTTATCATTATAGTTTTATAATAAGGAAATTTATGTGCCTCGTATTTTGTAGTGTCCACTAATAATACATGGCTAGAGATAAAAGATTTTTAAAAATTAATTTATTTAATTCGTACATATATATATTTGCAGTGGCAGCTTATCACATATCACTTTAAACAATTACGCAATCCTTAGAGGTGTTCTCGAAAGTTCTCGAACCTTATATGTGAATTACTTAAAAAAATAAATATTAAAAATATACATCTCTCCATACTTCTAAATGCACTTTCTCCAATCGATACGTATTTATTGTAATGAAAATGATTTTATTGTGCTCGACAAAATTACAACGAGATCCAGTTCCAGTGTGTCAGAATCTTTTAGCTGTTGTGTGTTTGATACATAAGCTGTAAAGTGTGCAAGAGAAAAAGATAAATACCGATATATAAACAGCAGACATATATTAGGTCGAAATTATATATTAAATAGAAGAAAAGTATCATAATATCTTCAAACTGGAATCTGTACTCGACGGTTCTGCAGTGTTCAAACCAGAATGACAACTCTGATCGTCAATCTCATGAGTGGAACCTAAAGTTTTTGCTAATTCATATAAGTTTGGTGTGTTCCTTCGGATTTCCTTTTCCAAATTAAGTATCTTTTCCTCCTTTTCCTTTTGCAGTTTGCTCGCGTCTGGTGCTACCGGCTTCGACAGGCCAGCGCTCACCGTATAGAAAACACTGCTGCTATCTTGAGATTTGAATACAAATGTCAATCTGTCGGAGACAAAACTCATAAATGTACATTCGATCGGCGAAGCCTTACAGAAATATCGACAAGATGCGGAATCGCCGTGTTACCGTTCATTTTGCAATGACTGTTGCATCTTCTCAATTTTCTCAAGGCAGATGCTATGCTTGATCGGCCAAGGCACGTAGATCTCCAAGCGAGAGTGCTCTCTTTTCCTCACCTCGAAGTAAATCACGTCAAGCTCCTCGCTGTACTTGTACCTGACGTCCCAGTATCGCTTCACTGGAAAGAAGAGGAAACCAGGGCGAGAGTAGACTGCGCGTTCACCATCCAACAACTTCATACAATACCTTCGCATAGCTCGATGTAGACGTAAAAGGCGGTGCTGGTTTTTATCGGGTCGTTACAGCCGAGTTTGCACAGGTGATAATACTGCAAGCGTACAATTGACAAGGATCATAATGATTCCACCGTACACCGAGTGCTTATACATACACAGGCATGCGGGCATTCTCAGGACTTAAGGATCGCGCGCGTCTTCTTGGTTACTCACGCTGGGGTGGCAGATGTCGTACATCTTTCCGCACGCGGGACGCAGGGGTGGAGTGCTCTGATTCTCGCCGCGGGACTGCCCGCCGTCAAATTGTCATCGCAACACCGCGGGCGGGGAGGAGCATCGATGGGAATTGGCACATGTGTTCGCGCTGACAGTTCCCCGAGTCGCTCCGCGAGCGTCCACCTGGCGTTCGCGGGCCGGCGTTAAAACACAAACGGCAAAAGGTAAGGACTTAGAGGGGATGCTGGAGTCTCTCTGTTTTACCGACATTTTTTATAATGTCGGTAAAACAGAGAGACTCCAGCATCACCTTAACTCTCGATTTGGAGCGAAGCTTCTCCTTATCGCGCAGAGATGTCGCCAGAGCATACATCGAAGATATAGAACGAATTTTCAACGTACCGGGCGTTGACTTTACGTATATTTCTTTTTTTTGACGTAATAAAAGAAACTAGACCAACGAATCCTGATGGAAATATCTTGCTCGGAGTTTACTATAAAATTGATGAAAAGTGAAATAAAAGACTGGCATTATAAAGTTTACCGAATATATTATATTGGCTGCAAATTGTATTACAATTAATGAAAACGATTTTTCTCTGACTTTTTATTGAGATATCGATGAATTATAATGAAACGGAGTCAATTGTGAGATTTTCAAACACGTTCTAGCAAAATTTCGCATTTTCAGTAAAATATTTTCACCAGAGAAGACTGCGGTTGAAAACCCATCCTAGCGATGTAGCGCGCACTTAAATAATAGCGAATTCGGTTGCTTGCACTAGTGCGCACTGAGTGAATACTGAATGAATACGCGCCGCGATCTCGGGCATTGTTTAATCATATATTTTTACTCTTGTCTACGTTTTTTAAAAATACGTATATCTTCCAGAGATCAGAGGGGATATAGGTATAAGATACTTCCAGGGTTGGATAAGTTATCTTGTTTTTAACTAAGTTAAGTTAAAGTTAACAGTATTGCAAATTTAACTTAGTTAAGATACAAGTTAATCCGTAATATAATTGAATTAAAAGTTAAGTTAATAATACAAAAAATTAAAAAGTTAAAAGTTAAATGTTTTATTTTTACACAAAATCTCAGAGACTTACGATCACGTAAATTGCATTGAATTTCGCGACTAGCGTTTGGACAATCACTCACACTACACGGAATATGGCCCCATTTCATATGCAAACAATTTCAGTTCGCATCTGAGTACGAGAATCTAAAATTAAAAATTACCGATAAAATGTAACTAAGTTAAGTTAAAATTATTTAACTTTTTAACTTAACTTTTGACTAGACACTACCCAACCCTGGATACTTCAATGTAATCTCGAATGTGATGTTTATTGCTTAAATTGTACAAAGTATGTGTATAAATAACTGTCGCCCTGTATGCTTGTTTGACGATACGATAGAAAATGCTCATTGCCCAAAATGCATCGAAAAATGTTCTACATTATTTAAGAAAATAATTCTTCAGCGTTGATCATCATACAATGAACATCCAATTGTCGAAAGATTTTAGATATAGAGTGTTGACATATGGACAGTATAGTATATATACAACGATGTCGCAAATGCAGAGCTAAAAATTGCATACACATCTTGAAACGTATAAAAGAAATTAGTTCCGAAAATTTATACACGATGGATAAGCGCTCTGAACTTCGAACATCCTTAAATTACACCCTGCGGCTTATAAAATATATTTCTATATATGTATAAATATAGGTACACAAACATATCCCTTTATTTTCATGTATTTCTATTTTAAATTAAACTTGAGCACGCCGGCTGAAGTGAGAAAGGATGGCGATATCACATACGACAGCAAATAATTTACTTAAATATAAACAAAGGCAAATTATTTACTTATTGAAGAAAGTGAGATTTGAATCACGCGATAAAACCTTCGTAAAGAAACCACACTTGAAAAAGTAGCTACAATTTTTATTACCAGCCTTTCTGTGCTCTTACAAAATCCTGTAAAATAGAACAATGTGACGGTTTATAAAACTTCATCAAAAGAACGAACTTTTAAGTGTCTTTCTGTGTATCGGAAAATCATTAACGTGTGCGTATATGAGAACCGTATATGTAGGCTCGCTTCCATCATTTTGAACGAATAGTCAAAGATCAGTCGCTGTCAGTCGCAAGAGAGCTTCTCGAGGTCGAAGCTCCCCTGCGCCTCGTGCAATCGTATAAGCATGGAGAGACGGTGTTTAGGATAACAAATTAGACTAGTTACAGCTGGGCCGATCCTCGCCACGCAGAATCGAAGCCGCACGCCGTGTCGGAGTCGGAGTCGTTTTGCTGAACGCCTCCGGACGCGATGGAACTGGAGGTGACCGCCGTCGTGGATGTTGGTCGGCGCTGAACAGCCCGGTTCGGTCGGCTGATCTTACCCTGCGGCAACGGAGTAGTCGGCTGACTGGCAACCTGCTGCTGTTCCTGCGACGAGCCGAAGTCGTGCGGACGCCTGCTCCTGCGCTTCTTGATGGGCGCGTACTTCGGCGGTGGCATCAGCTTCTGCTCCAGCTTGCAGCGAGAAACGTCAGCGTGCAAAAGACGCGCAAGAGATTAGAACGGTCGGCATAGAGCACCGGGCACTCTTATTAATCGGCGATTCTATTGCCGGCGTGTGCGATCGTCTTTTGCGGATCGGCAGAAATACAATTCTATTTGTACGTTTCGATTAAACTTGCGTAATTGTGTATGTTTTATTAGACTCGTGTTCGAGTTTAAATCGGTGACGGTTCTGTATGTATTCGGGATATTTGGAGGAAAGTCCTCTATTATGAGACAGGCTTTTAATGCGAGACAGCATGAATCAAAATTTAATCACTAATCTTTATTCACAAGGATTACACGATCTAACAATGAATTTTTCACTAAACAGATTTCACACCAAGAGCAAAAAATTTACGATGAAACCAACGGACGATATCTATTAATTTAGCAAAAAACCTATCTCAGATTAGGAGACTTTCCTCTGATTATTATTAAACTTGCACAATTGTAATTGTTTAGGAAAGACGGTTAAAGAAACTGGATATATTCCTCGCTATGGAATTCACGCGTTATCCTAACGTGCAACGCGAGATGCCCAATACCTGAATATAGATACCTGTACGTTATCCGCGGATCCCCACGATTTATGAATCTTCTCGTTGTTGTTGCTAGTCGTGCTGCTGGTTGCCACACCCAGGAACTGGCTGAAGGCTTCCGTCGTACGTTTCACGCGAACGTTCAACGAGCCAATTCGTAGGAAACCAAGATCTTTCTCTGTATATTCAATCAATCGCTCTGTGTTACGGTGCTTACGGTTCTCGTAATTGTTACAACTTTCGTTGTACGTGACTTTTACAGGACAAATACAGCCGATCGTCAGGCTCGCGTGTATCACTGATTATATTTTGCCATGTTAATTAATTCTACTACAGGAATGTAAAGTACTCGTTGAATATTATAGAGTTATTGAGACTGATACGATACTATTGTAAGCGGGGTTACTGAAACTATAAGTTTGACGAATAAGAGACTAATGTTCTAGTGTTAATATCTAGTTAGCTTGTTTCTCATGCGCTAAGTTAGTCTCTACTAAAACGCTCGGACACCAAAGGAATTATTTCTTACCTGCATGCTTTTTCCTTGCTTTTATTTCTGAAATAAAATAGAAAATCATTTGAAACTGTATCTTGTACAGACAGCGAGAAAAAAAATGGGAAGGCTGTCACAAGTGGGTTAGAACCGAAAGGAAAGAAACAAGCTACGTTTATTAAAAACCTGTGGAATTATTAGGGGATATATTAATTGTGGCTGATATGTATACTTGACGAAGCCTAAAGAGAAGCAGTTTCAGGCGCAGGGATTCCATTAATAATTCAAATCTGAGTTTGCAATTAAAAGTTAATCTCCTTAATGGAAATGTTATGTCGTACGGTTAATATAAAAATGTGCCTCGCGTCATGTGGGATTAGATAGACGGCAGAGACCCAAGGGGGAAGTTAACGCGGTTAAATAAGTTAGTATAAAATATAAGCCTACTTTCCCTTTCGAGAATTACACGTCCTGTCAATGTTATCAGATACAATAATTATTCGGTGCGAATAAAACGTGATGCTGAGAATCGGCCGACGTGACATATGTGTATTTCTCATGCTTACATGTAACATGCTTCATTCACGTTACAGCGACATACCGCATACGTACACCCACGCGCGCAAAAACAATAACAAATAATAGCAGCGGCGATGTGAAACGAAATATCTTATATAACAGTTAAATTAAGGCTCGGGAATGGAGAACCTTATTATTTTTTAATTGAAAATATACGAGTGCATCATCACGCACTCTTATAAAAAAAATTGCATTTCACATTGCTAGTTACATAACATTAATTTTCTGTGCCAGAAATTCGATGTACCACTGCCACTTGGATAGTTGACGCTTCGTAGCTGTTGCGAAACGTGTGATCGGCGCTTATCGATGAAGAGAAGCCGGAATATATGTTACGCATGAAAAGAGAGTGTTTCGTTGCGAGAAGAGCCGATGAAATATTAAAAGTATTAGTTCATAAAGTAAGTATATATGTTGTGCAAGTTGACACAGAATTATTATATATCTCGAAGTAAGTTGGTAGCTCTGCACTCTTTAACGCATCGACACATTTTCAACATTTCAGACGTTTGGAAGAGGGGAACGGGTGGACGAACGTTCCCTATTTTGCCCGTGAAGCGCCAGAAGCAAGACGGGTTCGTGCTCGACGCTCGCCTCTCTTTCGGCAAGCGATATCCCCGGGGCGGGTCTCCGGAGTGTTCGCGCAGCGAGGTCCGTGAAACTTCGAGATACTCACGTCAGAAGTGCAGAAAAGTGACAGTCGTACGTTACTCTAAGGTGCGCCTACGTACTTTAATCTGGCGACACACAAGCGCTTTACTACTTTAGCGGAGGTGTGCTTCTGAACTTGCCTGAGCGTAGCGGCAGCAGTAATCCCTACAACAGAAGAATACTTCCAGAGCCCCGAAGTACTCACCGAAGAGAGTGAGCCCACAACCATTCTCCGTTCCGACTACTCGAATACCGCGTCGCGTCATGCCTGACCTACGTCTACACACCTTACATCTAAAGAGACGTCCAAAGCGACAGAGAGGTATCCTAGGTAGCCTGAGGATGCATTGTTATCCGAGCAGTATTGTTGGTAACGGTAACGGTGCTGCTGAGAGTTAATCATAGTAGAGTACCGTGGCAAGAGTGCCATGCTAACGGACGTGCCAAGAGCATTCGTTTAGCGATACGAACAAGTAGCGGCGTTAAGATAAGGTCCAGATGTATGCACGCGGGGTTATCTGTGGCCTGAGAATATTAGCTCGTGGGGTACTAATATCGTTGCCGCATCGCATGCAATCCTCGGGGATTAGGCGGGATCGGCTGTTAACGGGCCGTGCCGGAGCGTGACGGGCAAACGTCACGAAAACGAGCTGGAGGACGGTGAACAATGATCGACACAGGGATACAGCGGGAAGCAACGGAACTTTGACGGGACTCACACTGACAAGCGCTGTAAATTACAGTGTACTACGGGGAGGGTAATTGGTTTTACGGCGGCGACGCGACGGTGGTCGGGGCGCGTTCGGCACGGGATCGGAGAATTCCTTTAAACAACTTTTCCAGCCGGCAATTATGTCTTTTGTATTCGCGTTATGCAAACTGCTTTCTTTCTGCGGCCCGTTTCCATAGCGTGAGATGAACAATGTCTCACTTGGTGGTAACACGTAAAAAGAAAGAAAAAGATTTTTACAACACGTGAAGAAAAAAAGATTTTAACATCCCACGGTCGAACTTTCGCTGCAATTTCGTCGCGCCTGTGAGAAACGCGGGGAAGGGTGTGGAGGCTGATATGAATAATTTATAAAACACATCCTCGCGATCTTGTTCGTCAACACGAGTTGAAGCTGCTTTCCTTAAAATCGTCGAACAAACGGAAGAAAAGGCTAATTCTCCAAGGCGGGCGAGAAGATCGCTTTGTACAGCTCGCAGTTACAGTTTCCAAGATAGGCTTATGAGTCGCAGAGAAGACGCCACTGATTCGCACCGAGGACTGAAGAATTGCGAGGAACATCCCGGAGTGTCCACGCAAGCGCGATCCTCCGCGGTAGATTATGTACAAAAATTGCGTTTCGTTTCTCTAAGTGGCGTCTTCGTTCGTAGAGAGAAATGTACTTACTGTGGAACGTGTCCTGACTGACCGCCGCCTCTTGCGAGGCCAGATACTGCCTGGCCTTCCTACCGCTGTAGTCACGTATCTCCTGATTCGCGCCTGAAAAGATATTTTCTAGATCCGTCGAGATGCGATCGTTACGGGGGGGATTTTCGTCATTGTAGAGCCTCCGAGTGGATACTCACCGTATACTTGAACCAGGAGATTGAATATGTTCTCGTGGCCGAACTGCATGGCGATATGCAGCGGCGTGTAGCCCTGCAAATGCGATGCTCTTAGTTTGACGTACGTGTCTTCGAACAAGGTGTGACGCTTTCGATCGTTTAACGAATAAATGAGCGTAATCTCCGATCTTTCCGCCGCCTAAACACGGCGGCGCTTAAACTTATATATTAATTACGTCCAGAAATAAGGAGAGCGTATCGATAATTGGGCAAATTAAAAGACGAACAATATTCCCGTTCGGCGAGCGTGTAATACATATCACGCGAACACAATGTTCACGTGCCTCCACGTTGACGCAAGGTGCGCGCGCGTTATTAATATACTTATGAACGCGCGTTCGGTCTACAGTTTAATGAATAATGTATTTCTAATTGTGCACGCGTCCCCCTTCGCGCTGTCCGCCGTTTCCGGCGCCGTTTTGCGAAAAGGATACGCCAATCTCCTTCATTCTCTCTCCCGCTGGAAGGAAATCGTAATAAGATGGAGGAAAAATAACAGGGGGAGGGACCGTATCACACCTCTCGCCGAGACGCGCCGTGCGTCTTATTACGATTTGCTCGACGTGCGTGACGAGTGCGTTTACGAGTGAGACAGCGACGATGGGAGCGAGACGCGGAAAGAAAAAGGGGGATGATACGCGGTGCCGTCGCGGAGACAATGAGTAATTAATGGCACCGTATTATGAATATCACCTCGAGCGTGCGAATTCGCATTTCCGCGACAACGGCGCGATCCGAGACAATCACGTGCGTGCGTGCGTGCGTGCATGCGTGTGTAAGGGAAACGGCGAAAACTAGCCTCGCGTGCACCGCCTCTATCACCTGCACGCATGCACTTTCATCCGGCTCTTAAGCGAATCTTCGTACTCCTGTCCGGACACGCGGATGCCGCGAGCGGACGAATAACAGATTGCCCGCGTCGCTTAATCTCAAATGGATTTCGAGACACATTTTAATCGGGGCTATAATTAGCGCGATGTTCAATGTTTAAGAAGCGAGGTACGATAATCCGATAAAGTCGAAATTACTTCTCGACAAGAGTTCGCCGATCAATCTGCGAGTAGCCGGGCGTGTGCGTGACTTTAGATATATTACATATAAATCGATCGTACATATAAATGAGCGGACGATAGGCCTTAACGTGAATTTAATTAAACCAGGCCATTAAGTGATACCAGAGCCTCGATACGTAACGCGCGAGAGAAAAATGACGCCGCGGACGAACATCAATCCGCGGACGCGTCTCTCCTCCGTGGTACATGGTGCTATTCCGCACCGTGATATCTTTATTAAGCGACACCGTTTCATTAAGAGATAATATCAGGCTGATCTAACGCGAGACGCTTTACGTTTTCATCGTGGCGAACGACACGTCAAGGTCCTCGGGGAGTATCGCGCTGTACCCGCCATTTGTTGCGAGGGCAGAAATATTAAGAAGGCGTTATCTCGCAATTAGTATCGTTCGACTCGGGGCAGGCAGGTGAAAAGAGCTGCTTTTCCAGCTCGCGTGTCAGGCAACAGCTGCCGCCCCGGACGGCTCCCGTTCGCCCTTACAAGGGTAATACAATACGTGCATTCGATCGCGGACGATGATCCACTTTAATGCAATGCCTGGCATTGCGATAGTTACGGACGAATCCGATAAGGTCTATGAATTGGTAATCCATCGTCGCGGAAGATCGCGACCGTCGAAATAATTTGCGCCGCGTATCTTTCCGCGGGACGTCGGCGAGCAAATTCTGCGGGTTTCCTAGTGCGAGAGACAATCGCATTCTCCCACGTGTCTACGCTCGCGATTAAATGAAGGATCCTCTGTTTTCCTCGGTCCAAATTAAATTTAAATCTCGTGCTACGCAATCGTATAATAAGCTAACGCCCGCGTCGCCGCTGCGCGTAGCTCCTTGGCCGAGGGGAAAACTGGTTTAATTTAGATAAAAGTCGCTGAAAGCCGATCAGCCAGGAGGAGCCCGACCACGTAGCGCGGCCTTGGATTAAGGTATGCAAAACGCGAAGCCGCTGATGTACCGAGCGCCTATAAAGAGCTTCGTCCCTTTCGAATGACGAAATCGAAATTCAAGAATTGATCTTTGAACGGACACGAGCGGCGCGGTAGCCCCGCGAATGACAAAAGAGCGAAATTAAAACCCGCGGCAGAGAAGAGAGCGTAGGTTTCAACACTCTTGAGCTCGAACGATGCGTCATCGATTGTTTTCCATTGAAAGACTGTTCGTCGGCCGACGGGATCGCGGGACGCGCTTCGCCTCGGCACAATTCGCAGACCGTATCCGCGGTGAAAAGTAAGAACCGTGGTCGGTCAGGGACATCGCGTATTCCTGCCGTGGGCTAGCGTTCGTGAAAGAGCACGTTGTACCACGTACACACACCGCGGCTCACGATGCTCGCGTCGATAAGTACGACAAATTGCGCGTAATTGTGTGCGTGCGCGTGGCATTATCCGAGCGGAGGTGAAAACGCAGACGAGCTGCCTTAAAAGCGCGCTTTATACCCGTAAAATATGCGGGGCGCTCGAAGAAGGAAGCGCGCGAGGTAGGGAAAATGAAACCAGGTGCGTCTGGAGCTCACCGAAATACCGTTGCACCCTATATTTCTTTGATACTCGTCACACGACACGCATGTGAAGCAAGGAATTTTTTTTAACAAGCTTCCGCGATCCTACTCCTCTTTGAAACAAAAGTTTCGCTCTGGGTGTCTCTCGGGGCGGATTAAATCAAGGGGTAACCACTAACTAAAATGTCCCACCGATTACACGATGTCATTTCATTTCGTACGATTTCATCTGATTACGAATCATCTCATCTGATTGCAAATCATTTTCTTATATGCACGTTTAAAAATATGTAACGTTGTTAAGGAGATTTCATAATGATTTCGGAGACACCGTCCCACGATTACATTAAGTGGTTACCCCCTTGGATTAAATCGTAAGAAGGAGTAAATTGCGGGGGAAAAAGATTTTCGTAGGCTGAATTCATACACGGGAAAAAATGGTGTTGAATTAAGCAAAATTCAGTTGCTTGAATTTAACGTCACGGGCTGCCACAAACATAAATAATCCACTCAATTGTATTTGCTATGGATTTTAATTTTAAGCATTGAACTAAGTATCTAGATTATTAAGACAACAATCTGAAGTTTTTTTATTTATTAATACTGATGTTGTTTCAACGAGTTTATTTCAATTACACTGATCTTGTTGATACTTCATTCTTTTTTCCGTGTACGGACGCCAGTGTGCTTCGTTTAAATGACGCCTGTGCGACGTGCATAATTGTACTACAGTGTGTCGTCGGCTATAAAGCCCGAGATGAAAAAATGCGTAGCGAAAGGGCCGATTTGAATCCGTATAATGCCTCTTACCCTCAATTAAAATCACCCTCGAGATACGCGGCCGAGCGCGACATTTGGCCGCGCTACGGAAGTGCGATTAAAAACTCGTCCCCGTGACTGAGTTCATGAACGACGCTCGACTGTATATCGTGGCGTTTAATATCGAACTGCGCAATAAACGATAGTGACAAATGTGTCAAAACCGCGATCGTAGTTATCGAAACGCGGGACGCACCCTCCGGGCGCTCACGCACCCTCGACGACACGCCGGGCCGAGGGAGAGAAGGGGTTGCCTGCCTCGCGCCGGGGCTCGCCCCCCTCAAAATTTCTAATTTATTTCACTTTAAAGTCCCCGCGCCTATAGGTATACGCGCGAAAAAGTCACGACGTATATACACGGGCGCATATAGGACGGAAAAACGGCACGTATATGGGGTGGACTTGGCGCGTCACCCTTTTGCCAACTCCAATAGCATGCGACACGTGTGTCCTCGCGACAAGTGGCACGACACACCCTTTGCCGTTGGCTCACGCACGCACCCTCCCTCGCGCATCCCTTCGTGATACGTGCACGTACGAGGTGTCGCAAAAGCAACAGCTCCTCGTGATTCGTGGATTCTGAGAATCCGATCGGAAAACACTCAAACATCACCGACGAACTAGGGTGCAGAGACAAAGAGAATTTCAGACAACTTTCTTTTTATCTTATACAAATGGATAACTTTATACCTTCGAGGCGCTTTCAACTCTTTGGATTTTATCTCAGGTTAATTTGGACCGGGACATTTTAAATGAGCACAACGTTTCGATGATTATACAATCTGAAAATTCGATCGTCCAGACTCACCGGCGTTGAATCCTACATTCGGAGGGCGGATAATTTCTGAAACACCCTGTACGTAGGTGGATACGTACACGCGGAGAATCCCCCTCCCCTCTCTTTTTATGCTCGCGATGATATTTTAAAGTAGCAATGTCCTGGCACACGGAGTCTCGAGACAATATCGCGCGCCCCTACCGCCACTTCGTCTCCGTCTTCCACGTCTCCGTCTGTTTTTCCTCCCGAGTGCGCCTACTCGCGCGTAACATGTCCCTTTTTTCTGCCTTACCTCTTCGTTCTTCTCCCTCTCTCTCGTCCTCGCAGCCTTCAAGAATAGGACAGCTGCCGGCCACCAATATCACGCACGCGTATATCACCGTTGAGGATTTTCAATTTTAATATTTTCCTACATCGGGCCTCCTTTACGAGCCGCTATATCATAACGGCGCTTCTCACCCCTCCCCCCGCCTACCCTGGAAGGGTAAAGAAAGCGGGGGAGGGAGCCCGCACGTCCCGAGGAGATCTCGTTCTTCGACGCGAGCCCGCTCTAAAATCGGCAGGAAGGGCAATATCGTTTTCCGCAATCCGTTGTGCAGACATTTTTTATATATCTCATATATTTCGCGCGATGGAATTTCGATGATTCAAGTCCCCACCGTGAGCCAACTCGAAAAACGAGAAATTCATAACGTTCACCGCACCGCGATAAGGGCCGGGACACGAATGCGAGACCAATCGGATGAATCCCAACTCGATTTCCGGAGATTAGGCCTTTCTCATTTGACAGTTTACTTCGAGTATTCCAGGTCTTTCTCCTCGTAAACTTTGACGATCCGAGTTTCAGTAGCTCGTTTCCACAGATAAAATACACGACGGATCATTTTTTTCGTCGTTATTAATTATAATGGTTTCTCGTTGATTGACTCATTTCAAACGGTCAGCTCAGGTATTATTCTCCGAATGGTTCTCCCGTTGCACGAGGTAGACCGCGGTCGCGTCTACGAAGCTGTAACCGAGGATAGAATGACCATTCGTTGGCCGTCGTGCGCCGGGCAAGGATGCAGGCGCCACACGGTCGGCTTACAGGAGTCCCCCGTGGAGACGGGGCACGGGGGGGACGTGGCCACCGTTTTTTGCCGGGATTAAATGCGAGCCGATGCCGCGATAAGCCGTAGAAAAGCAAGGTAGAAGCGGTGCCGGTGACAGATTATGCCCGTGACTGCGATCCGCTTCGTCGTCGGGGCTCCGGCGCGGCCGTTTTATTTAACGCCGAGGATCGAAAAAAGAACTGGCGAGCGGCAGCGGAACCGCGGCGAATTCTTACGATAAGCGGCTCGGAGTTTCTTCGCCGACGAAGGCCGGGGCGTCCGAAAAAGCGGGCCGCTCGCGCTATGATTTTTCACGCTAAAAGCATCATCAGTCAGATCGCGCGGTGCTTGTTGCGATTGAGAAACATCTCGCGTCGAAAAATTCCAAAATGCGCGAGACGAACCCGCCGTAGCCCTCGCCTTCGATTCCTGGGTAAAACAACGCCTCGATCGGTTTTAAGTAGCGCCGGGGATCCGAAGAGAACCGACGAAAATTAAGTTGTGCGCCAATTCGAGCGCGTACACGAGAGAGGGATAATTTTTTCTTATTTCGCGATTATTAATTTTTATTATTTCCTATTATCGCGCTCTTTGTAATTTACTGATTTTTCAGGTTCCCGGCAGTCCTGTCGTGCGCGAACCGGTATCGATGCCCGCGAGTGGCGGATATTAGCCGTGGATGAGATCGGCGCCGCGCCACGGGCGATTCCGCGCGCTTCACGAAGCTACCGGGCAATCGCGGGGTTCTCCTTTTTTTTTTAACTCGTTTCCCACCGTCCTTTCATTTGCCACGGGATTGGGGGAAAGCCGGTGCCCGGGATAAGCCGTAGGAAAGCGCAGCGGGAACGATGCCGGTGACAGATTACGCCGAGCCGCGCCGCGCGATCCGCAGTCTGGTCCTAAAGCCGCGCCGTGGAAAAAAGCAGAGCGAGGATTCGCCGAGGACAGATCTCCCCCGTCCGGGGTGTGGATTACCTACTCTACATCGGTACGTACACGGGCACGACCGTATTCATTATATCCGGCGCTAATCCCCGAGTAACACCGAGTCAGCCAGGATTGTCATTGGGAAGGTACGAAAATAGCGATGTCTGCGCATCAAGTTTCTCTATTAAGGATATCTCCCGTACCACTCCTTCACCGTCTCATTGATTTCTCACAGTTTCATACCTTTCAGATTATTCGTGCGAAAACCGACTCCCGATTTTATCGTACAGCTTAGAGACAATCGAGGCGATGGTACATACGGGTGCTACTTTTTGTCTGATTATTTACGGAAACTAACTTCCGACTTTATCGTACAGCTTGGAAATAATCGAGGCGACGGTACATATAAAGATTGCTACTTTTTTCTGATTATTTACGGGAACTAATTTCCGATTTTATCGCACAGCTTGGAAATAATCGAGACGTTGGAATAAAGATTGCTGTTCTCTTTCTCGAATGGAGTTTCTGTAGTCGAGAGAACTCTCAACGGATGACAACGAACTGTAGAAGAACGTGGGATTTAAAGGCGAGGAAGAAAAGATGTGCTGCGGTGTCGACAGGTCAGTTCGGATTACACCGGCGGAAACAAATGAGTCTACTGTGCGCGAAGGAGCTACGGTGAAGACCTTACAAGAAGATAAATGAACCGGCTTTCGGAATACACGCGCTTCGAATTCAATTTCCATCTAATGACGGAACGATAGAGGAAAAAATGAAGCGAGCCAAGTAAATTCTCGCCGATTGCTCGAAGCGGCATTTCCGAAAATATACCGGGTACTTTTGTTTGTCGTGAAATCGCTGTACTCTCGTCGCAGCCAATACAAAAATTTGCAGCTTTACAAAATTATAACACGACGCACCGCTCAAAGCCTTGCGTGATGGAGGAAGAAAGATTGCGAACCTAATTGGCCATGGAATGATAAGAAAAAATACTGGCAGCGCCCAATGCGAAATATCCATGACAGAAAATCGAAATAATTTTGTTGTCCAGTATAACGCGAGGGCAGGAGCCCGAGACGGAGTTTGTCGCGAACCGCTAACGAGCAAGGACCCCGCGTTTTCCCTCTTCCCTCCTCTAAGTACTCGCCTCCCTCGTCGCACGCCGTCTCTCGTCGTGAAGCACTCCCGCCTTATATAAGTCTTATAAAGAGCAAAGAGCGGCGGGACCACACACATCCGATCCTATCTGCGGGCTTTTCTGTGTGCTTCGCCCGTCTCTCTCCTTTCCCTTTCCTTCCTTTCTGCTACGCTGTACACTGAGTCTCCGTTTGTTCTACCTCTTACAACACAACTCGCCCCCTAAACCGATCCCGCTCTCCGTACGTCTGGCAAATTATACGCAATCGTGACAAGGGCCGCCGCGGATACTCGCTCTTTCTCGATGTTATCCAAACGTATTTCGGGTACGCTTCGTCTTAATCTCGATGTAAAAGTCTCCCGTCGCGAATTAAGATTCATTAAAGGGGACGTTAATTTTTGATATTTAAATTAATTGCTATTCCAGTTGTCGCGATATTATTACTTTGAAAGATATTAAATCGATAGTTGAAAAGTAAGACACTTACCCCATTCTGCATTGTCCGATGGAGACATCCAGTGGTCGGAAACACGAAAAATATGGAAGATTAATGTTGATTTTCGGTCTTACATTATCGTTAAAAATAATAATGTAAAAGTGAACAATCGCTTCGGTATTCTACATGTTAACTTCGCTCACAGGTTTTATGAATAAATATTTGATCTATGCAATCCCAGAAAGGGGGGCACTCACCGTGGTCTCATTGACACTTTTGATGCATTCTCTGTAGGTGCCCGCTATTAATTTAACGATGTTCTCGTCGCCGTGTTTGGCGCCCCAGTGTAAAGCCATCTGCAACACGCACGAAGAAAGGCGAGGTGATAATTCGTTCGTCGGTCGTTTAAATCGCGCGGCGCGGCGCGGGATTATCGCGCGGGTAATGTGAGACCGCGAGGAAGACGCGCGATGGGAACGTGATAAGTAAAAATGTATCAGCGCCGAGATTTATATAGTGCGACTGTGGACTTTTCGGCGGGTTGTGCCGAAGGTGGCCCCGATTGTAGACACGACGCGAGCAGCTGTAGTGTATTTTCGGGGTGACGCGCCGGTGAAATATTCGCGAATTAAGCGACGGCAACGGCCGGGTGTCAACCGAGACGAGCTGGATGAATGGGAACCGTCGCCCGCGCCGGAGCGTACTCGAGAGAGGAAGATCTCGACTGGCAGTCGATTACAGCCGGAGAGCAGAGGAGTTAGTGCGGCTTGAGGAAACCCGGAAAGAGCAAATAGATCGAGCTTGAGTTACTTCCACTTAGACGCTTCGATGAATCGGAGAAAGAGAAGAGAGAGAGAGAGAGAGAGAGAGAGAGAGAGAGAGAGAGAGAGAAATTTAGGCTGATCGCAGTGAAGGAAAGTGGTAAATATTTTCTGAAATTGATATTACTAGAGTATTTAAGTGAAACAATGTGGGTGATAAAACATACCGCTAGCGAGATTCAGCGTAAGAATAATAACCGTGCAGGATCATATTACATCCAAAATGTAAATGTATACGAACGGATCGGAGATGCGAACCAACAGAAATTTTCAACGAGGCAATAACCTAGGTAATAATTAATTTCGTACGAGTCGTATATTCAAAACTGTTCCCCCGAAGATACATAATTCTGCGTGTAACGCGCGACGATTAATAACGCTGCCAAGAATTACGTAGGCAAGAGTCTTGCTTCGATCATCTTAGCGGCGTTCATCCGCATTGTACATTGGATTGTCGAATGTATACACATACCCGGGCGTGAACGTGCGAGTTGACTCTAGTCCGGTGGCCAAAATTAACGCCCAAAATTAATCATCGAACAGCCGCGCGACATCAACTATTAATGCGACATTCACGCGGGCCCCAATCCGGGGAGGTGTGCTCTAAAAGGGATGCATGTTTTTCGCGTAGGGGCGGCAAAATAAGCAAGCTTTCGTCGCGAGACATGCGTTTTAATTCCATCGAGCGTCCCGTGGGTAGATTAAAAATAGTGTTTCCGTCTCTCCGGATTCGCGCGGGAGCGTCATAGAAGCTGCCCACGACCTGAGGCCGGCTGCCACGTACGTACCCTCCGCACGGTGGCGGACTGCAAGTCGCGGACCACCTCATTAGCGGACGACGAAAAAAAAAGTTCATTCTAACGAGGCTACGTACCTAATGACGGGAACCACGCGCGAGCCCGCCCGCGCGAGCGGGTGTATGTATGAGGCGGGTACACGTGGCGGCTAAAGGTACGAGGGCGTAGGTACACATTGCGTACGACTCTTTCATTTTATACGAGCGGCAAAAATTAAGGGCGTCTATTCGAGAGGGCCGTGAGTCGAAAAACTCCATTTTGAGAGAAATCGCTTGTTAACGGTGACCGCTAATTTAATAATATAAAAAGTTGTATAAAGATTCGCTTTGGTTTCTTCGGAAAGTAAACTTGTGATAAATAAAAGTATTTATTTTAACAAATAGAGTTAAATCAGGACGTGATGACGCAAGTCAATTAAGAACCGAGAACGCCAATTTTTAGGTCCGAGCCAGATGTAGGTGGCCCAATAATTAAAAATCGAATATGTGAATTCATATATCGTTTTCCACCTGTCCTGCGCACCGCTACTTTCGGACATACAACACAGTTTCGTTAGGTGGAATCATTGTCGTCGGCAAATTCACATGTTTTAGATCGATGGACCATTTCTAATTATTTTTAAAGATGCTATACTTAGCATTCAATACAATATTCCCCTCTTCGTACTGAACAGAAATCTTATTTATTTTAACACATTATCGCAAAAGATGTAAGAAGAAAAACTTTTCCGTTTTGGAAAAAATGGAAACATTATTTACGTCACTTCAAAGTAAAAATTTAACGCAAAAAGCCAATCGCAATATAAATACTATTTAAATATCCAGAGCAGAATTGGCAATTGTATCAACATCTTCATTTTTCAGTCAAGTCCAGAGCTACGAGACGTAAGTCGACGTACATCCGTCTCGAATTGAGGCTTTCAATTACGGAACGTATCACAAGTGTCGGATAGTGTCGGAAATTTCTACTTTTGCCAATTTAGCATTAAAGTAGGTGCTTTTAAGTAGAAGCTAGAGTAAATTTTTAGAATTAAAGATTCAAGGGAGGAGTAAAAAATTTAATGTCATCAAAGTAGGTTATCGCCGGTCTATGACTCGGGCAGATTTGATTGTCCCATACGTTGTTCAAGTACCGAAGCCGGGATTGAAATTCTCCACGTAAATCGAAATTTTAAATTTCTTACGCAATTTATTATTAGTCTGCGCCACAAGCAACGCTCTTTATGCATTACGGATTTGGCAGAGCAGAGCGCGGAAAAGAGGATGGAATTTACGCATACGGATAATACGAATAATTAAGGGCGCACTGTCGCTGTACAATTATTAAACGTACCGCGCATAGCGCGACGACAGGCCGAGCGGAGTCATTAACTGCGAAGTGCGCGGACATGGCCCATCTAATACGCTCCGCTGGTCCGGCTGGTGAAGATGCAAGAATCCGGCAGAATTACACGGCCGAGGTGCAAAATGAATTTTTACGGTGGTCTCGCGGGACCATCAGCGCTTATGTGGGCATATATACCCGTGGCCGGGCACGGACGTCTACTTCCCCCGGCTTCGTGCTAACGAAGTTTTATGAAGCGCGATAGCGCCATACCTACGCCGCGCCGCCGTGGACTTTGGCTCTCCTTAATTTGTGAATGCTGCTGCCGCGCGGTGTCGGCCGCGCGCCACGCCGCAAAAGAATGGTATGTCGGCCGACAACGTGATATATCTTCGGCCCTCTGCCCCGGACCTTCGGTCGGGGTATAGGTGCATACCGCGGATATACGGTAGCCTGCTTCTTTTCCCTGCGGCGCGCGGCGCGGCGTAACTTTCTTCAGAACGATCCGGGTGTAAACCCGCGCGCGTGAGAAGGCACGCGGGTCCAAGTACCCGCCAAGACCGACTGTGCTTCCTGCAGCGTGGCCACGCGGTGGCTCTTGTTCGAAAACGTGAATGGCTCGGTGGAAAAGTGGTCCGCCACTTACGGCACGTTTGGAATTTTCATTTCCCCCCCCCCCCTCTCTCTCTCTCTCTTTCTCTTTCATTTTGGTATCAATTGTTGGTTGACATACATATGTATTTAATTTTCCAACTAATTAAAATCTTAATTAATGCGCGGCTGTAACCGCGTCGTAGCGCTAACATGATTACAGACGAGATGCGAGATGACCATCAACCATGACGGTTACAGCAGTCGGAGCCGCGCGATGCGTAATGCTTGACAATGTCGCTATATTGTTCGCAGCTCGATATGATGTGAACAGAGCGACCTTCGTGTAAGCCGCTTAGGTTCCACGATATATAATTTTCTATTCGATCTAATCAAGTCTCGTCACACGTGACGTGCGCGTCCAGAAATAAACTCTATCGGCAAAAAGCACCCAGGATCACTCCAATTATTCAAGCTACTCTCTTCGTAGCCAACAACGGGAGTTCCCTCCCAACTTTCATCGGTCCTCCTTCCGTGGGACCCAATGTCTCTGTGACGACGTGTGCACGCCACATGTGCGCGAAACTACGTATAAGCCAGGGCTATATAGTTGTCTTCTCGTGGATACTGATTAAGCCGGCGTAGGGGATCGCGGGCGGTTCCAGGGACCGAGGAGGAACGGGAGGAGCAACAGCAGCAGCAGCAGCAGCGGCTGCGGCTGCGGCAGCAACATCAACGGCAGCAAGAGCAGAAGCGGGCACAGCAACGGCAGCGGCAGCAACGGCAGGAGCTACCGCGGGCTCCGCTGATGTATGCGAGCGATACAGATATCTCCGGGAAGGAATTTGCGTTGAATTAGCGTATAATCGGCGGGCCGATCTGCTCATACGGAATCCCGCGGTCCCCCGTTTACACGTGTCCCAAGAGCTGTATTCTCTGCGCGAACACAATATTTAGTAGCCGTCGTGGCGCGGCGGCGTCCTCGCGGCCGGCCACTCCTCTCGCCTCCTCTTCCCCGGGCTCGCCGGTCTCTCTTTTCCCGTGGGATCCTCTCTCGCTGCCGCCTGGTATGCGAAGGAGTCCTCCTTTAAGCGCGGCTTCCCTGGCCCAAATTTTTCCCCTTTCCGCCGCGCCGAGCCGAGCCGCGGGGTCGCCCGCTGGGAGCGACGGCGTGATTTTGTTATTAAGATAGGATTTCGAGATGCGGCATCTCACCCGGGACCTGACACTCGTCCCTCACCGGTTTCGTAGCGAGTGTTAATAAGGCTGCGGTCTGTGAAGCACCCGGAGGCTCGCTGGCTCAGACTAATTGGCTCGATCGTTATATGCTGATAACGCGTTGCAATTGAATATGAAATTTATTGAATTTATATTATTGCTCTAATATCCAGCTCATGTCTTAATACTTGAGACGAAATACGAACGTCAACTTGGATTCGTTTAGAGAGCTGGACGAAACATCAACAGATTTCACCATTGCAGCCCGCGTTTCTTAAGAAAGAGAGAGAGAGAGAGGGAGAAGCCGATCCCCGCGTCGACCGATTCACGAAACTCTCGTGAACGGCCGCGGTGGGTCGTCCGGATTCAGCGGTGTGGCGCGATTCGATCTCCCAAAGGTCGATTCTGGGAAATCGGGGGAGACGTCGGGCGCGTGTCTTCCGACGGGAAGAGACCACAGGGTGATGGTGGAAGGAGCGAGGAGGATGGCCGGGTAACGAGCCTCCGGTCACGTGTATGGCGTCGGGCGTCGAGATGTCAGATCTATCGGCGCGTGCTCGATGGCGCGTGTCTTCGCCTGTTGATCAGTCCTGTTGCTTTTACTCGTGCCCGACGTGCACATCGGCCGGCTTGCCCGATTGCCAGCATTAGTCATGAATTCGTGATCGCGCGACCCTTCGCGGTGCGGACGAGCGGAAACCCTCGTGCGCGATGAATATGCCCGCGATAACGATCGTGCATAAAGTTTTTGACGAACAATTACGTTGAACAGACAGCGAGATAATAAAAGCGACGGAGAGTCGATGACACAACGCTAAGTAAACGACATTCGTTTTCTCTTCCGGGAGTATCTTGGCGCGTTTTTAATTCGCTACGAGAGAGAGAGAGAGAGAGAGAGAGAGAGAGAGAGAGAATATTTTTCGTGCGAATCAATGTCCAAGTTGCCGAATAATCTCTTGTTACTTCCAGTTACTTCCGATACAGCCGACGCTGCGATAAAGATTTGCACCGCGTTGAACGTAGAGAAATGTCGAGGGAGAGTGTTTTATTTCCTGCAATTGCGTCAAGGAGGTGTGTTACTCAGAGTCCCGTAAAAAGAGGAACGACGCCGCGTGGCGTGCCGGCCTGAACTTTCGCGTCTTGCGCGAAGGATACACAGGATGCAGGAGGTGTCATTAGCATAACGTGGAAGAGCCGTGGTTCGTGATTTATTCGCTATCTCCCGTTCTTTTCGCTCGTAATTCCACCTCTACGCCGGATAAACACGACCCCAGGAGCCAAAGGCGTCCGAGTGGAAGATCTATTAGAAAGTAAATTTACGCGTATATTTCCGAAGCTCCCGCGCGTTATTTTCGCGAAAGGATAACGGTGCGAATAAAGAAGGAGGAAATGCTGAATTAGTGGCGTTCCTAAATCAGCGTCGAGCGTTTTCAGTTAGGCGCGATTTAATTGTCGATTCGAATTGTATTCCACCACGATTGTGTTACGCTGAATCGTGTTTTCGATCGAGGGGATGTTGTACCCTAAATATCGCATGTTCAGTTGTGAAACATTCATAATTATGTAGACTCCTAGCTGACTTATTATCAGAGATCCTGTATAGTATCGTGGATTGACGATCGTACAATGTTATCCGTCGCCATCAGGCCCGCAATTGCGATCCATCACTACGGCGGTACAATTGAAAAAACCCGCTTCCTCGTTCGAGAGGAAATAATAAGAGCCGCCGGTGGATCGCGCAAACGAGGTGTAACTGAAATCACTTGAGGCACTCGCTCAAACGAGCTGTGACTGCACGAAGATCTCTATCCCGGCTACCGAGCCTTTAATTCTCTTCCAGATTACCACCTTGCGATATCCCCTTTGAATATTAATTTTTCTGCAAACGCGGCTCCGCGTTACACTACACACCTGCGATGATGTGCAAGCGCAATTAAAGCGCAATAAACACGAAAATGGCCGTATTATTCGTCTAATTTCAAACTCATTCTTAATGAGGCCGCAGCGTAGTGTGTCTGCTTAATGAAATTTTTTTAACAGCGACGATCAATCGTTCATGTCAGAGTTTAGAAAAGGGAATAAAAAGGAGAGTGAGCAACCGAGCGAAAGCGAGCGGCGCGCCTTGTACGCGTGTACCGTTTTAGAAAATTAAACGGGTATTTAAAGACGTCGATGAGTAGTATTACCACGTAAATCTGCGCAAAGTATGCCCCTGCGAGTTTTCCCGCTGTCGCAGGTGGCGTCGACGAGCCGCGACGCGACAAGACATTGCCATCAGCCACGTCCATTACCTCGTGAACGTTGATTCGGTCCGATGAGCATCGGTAGTCAACAATTTCGCTAGCCGTTCGCCTAGCGAGCGAACGTCCGCGTCACGATCGCGTCTTACACATGTGACCGTGAGAGACCGGACGTTGTGAATTTATTCTGTTGGAGGCTGGGGAGGAAGTACGATGTCCTGTACAAAAGGCGATTCGGGATGTCCCAGTTCTCGAGGGATCGGCACCGGCCGCGATCGTATTACAAAGTATTCGCAATTAGGAAAAGTACTTTTAGAAACTAAATTGCCGCGATCAATCGATTATTTACAAATCAGAGCGCTCGCGACCATTTCCCCAAGCCTCGACGCGTCAGGCTTGTCGTCGACAAAATGCATACACATCGACGATGCCGAACTCTTACGGCGCTGAATATCGATATTCAACGAATCTCCGGGATCCCCTCGTGGTTTCGTGAATCACGAGATTCAGGGGTGTCCGCCGCGGGTACGGGCGATGCATGCATACATCCACCTGCAGCGGAGTTTAAACGATTAACGGGGGCGGTTTCCCGCGAATAATCGATGTCCCCCCCGATGTCCTCGGGCGTACGGCAAAGTTCTCGGTCGTCTCGATCCAACACGGTATTTCACGGGGGATTACGCGGCTTACACTTTCGTTCGATCGTATCCCATCCCGCTCTCCTTCCCCAGCCACCGTCAGGAATTATCGGTCGTGTGTCGATTATATTTCGCATAGGCGCTTACCCCCACACTTATCACCAGTTTCTCCGGCAGAAGGTATCCGGATTTTTAAAAAAATCGTTACAAGAGGCTACAAGGTTCATCCTGTTAAAAGTATGCGTAAGGGTGGGCAAATATCTTATCGTTATTTTCTCGGATCTAAAAGCTACAGGCTACATTTGGCTATAAAATAATTTACGCCTTTTGGAAAAGAAATTTTCCGCTGATTCTCTGGCGGCAATTCCGCTACTCCGAGAGCTCTCACATCGTAGAACGATCGACGAATCGAAATCAATTTTGAATCGATCACGAGCGACCTGCGAGGATCGGGAATACGGAAGCTCCCGGCTGCTCCGGCAAGAGAGGAAGGGGTGAAAGGGTAAGCCGCTTTGCGAACGAGCGGAATTGCCGAACCGCGTTCGGGACGAAGGGAGTAGGCGATTAGGTAAACCCGGGATTAGTTAGACGTCGCTGCTCCCTTCGTTCGGGATCCGGAGAGCCCGCCGGAGAGCCCTTCCACTTTCGACTCAGACTCGGTAGCCTGCACATCTACGTTCTCCACCGCTACTATTGGCCTAGCCGAGTTCGATTGCCGCCGCTAATAATGCCACCCTTGATTTACATGATTGGATTGGCGTCTCGAAATTGAAACTGCCGCCTGCGCGAGTCTGACGGAGGAGGGCGGCCCGCTTGCGTTTGCTGTATCAGACCGCGGACATTCAAGTTTGTAGGACGTCTCTCAATCGCACAACGACGAAACTGTGTCATCGGATGATTGCACCATCATTTACGGCGGCCTCTCTTCACCAACGCGATCAGTCAGGAATGATAAATTTTGTTTTCCCAATTTTTGCATACGGTTTTCTACATCGTTTTGCCTCGCAGCATTGTCTGCGATCTCTAGACGTTCCTCCAGTACCGCGAGAAATCCTCGTAAATTCTCGTGGCCGTAATCATATTGAATCATTCCTCCGCGTCCCGGATGTGTGGGTAGACACCAATATATTTCATAGATGGATACAACAAAAGAACGCCGTTTCCTCTTCGGAGAGACCTCTCGGAGAGATTAGTATGCTCGTATCTGCATGCCGCAAGATCGTATCTGCCACGAGCGCGGTCCTTTGTGGGTTTTTGTTTGCGTTGCGTACGTATTTATGTGAGCGCCCTTCCTCTTCTTTTCGGCCTCTCCTCTTCCTCCTCCAACTGTTTCTTCCTTTTCTTCTTCTTCTTCCTCCTTTTCTTCTCTTCCCTCTACCTCTTCTTCTTCCCGTACCATAATCGCGGAGGGACGCTTCTACTCAGGAACGCTCCAAATGATCCGCTTCGACTCAATCAATCTTTAGAAAGTTACTGTCACGACGCGAATCTCTGGAGAATTTCTTCTGCACGTCACGTTACATTCAAATGTCTAAGATTATTTCTGGCTGAGGAAACTTCGCTAGCCATGTTTTGAAGGGGATTTGCCCATACTTTTACTGCTTAAATTTTAGGGGAAAGTATCGAAAAAGATCGCAGTTATTAACGATTAAAATATTTCTTGAAACAGGAAAAATTAAACTGTAACTCAAGATTGTTTATCATCCTAAATTTCATTCCTCAGAACTCTTGATCCTTCGGCGGCAACTAATCTGATCATCGCTGTGCGTGTTTGATTGGAATTCTTGCGGGCACTATATCAATATCAATGTCGAGTTAGATGTACATATCCATTGTCTTGGCATGGATCTGTAATCCCTCACTGTGTACCAATTACCTTGTCCATTCTACCCGCGTTGCATGCAAATTGGATTTCGGTCACGGAAGACGCGGAGGAAGACGCCGGCCGTTTCCTCATGACGAGCCGAGATTTCGTCGTTACCGAAAGCAAATTAGTAAACCAATACGTTCGAGAAGAAGGCGCCCTTTCGGGTCGGTTGGCCAACCAAACAATGCGACAAGAAACGCGTAAAATTATAATGCTGGAAAAAGTGGCTCGTTGAACATCAAATATACCCGGGGTCCATTCGTGAAGGGATAATAGTGGCGCCGTTCCACAACTACAATGGGATATCACCGGAAAACCGACAATAGAATAGCCCTTAATAATCATTTTAAACGGCACTTGATTCTTCAAGCGTAGAGGCTACCTGACGAGAAATGGACCGCGGATGGAGCAGTCCTGAAAGTACGGCCAGACGAGAAGGGACGAGACGATACTTGGTCGTGTGGCGATACTAATCCGATTGCGCGACTCGCTCGTGCCAGTCCCCTTTGAAACCTAACGACCGGCAAACTTTCCCTCTGTTACGCTTTTGTGGTAGTTACAGGATCAGTTCCTTCGACGACCGTTTGGATTGTTCGCGGCGCCGAGCTTCGGAATAGTTCCTTGCTCAATAGTTTACGAGATTTAGCCGCGGAAATTTAGTAGGTCGCGACACGTTGAACCCTTTCTCAAAAAGCCTTCTTCGCTGTTTCGTTCTTAACAATTGTCTCGAGGCATAAAATGATCGACACGCAGCGAATTGTGTACCGAAGTGCTTCTTGCGGATGATGCGTTATTAATTACGGGCGAATCAGTATGCGTTCGCGTAAAGTGTGGGAAGCGTGGATGTTCGCTCTGGTATCTGGCTGGGAAAGGAAAGGGAGCATTAAAGTAAGAGATGAACTTTTTTGCGGCAATTTCTGCGCGCGTCAATTAAATTACCGCGATGCGTCCGGGCCCTCGGGTTCGATCGAGTTATGTAGGAAGCGCATTGCGCTTGAATGAGAGCCTTTCCCACGCGAAACATGTATCTACGAGATTGCATATTAACGCCTACGTATCTTCATGATAATAGAATATCACTTTCGCGACTGCGCAGAGATATTTCGCGCGGGAAGAGTCGGGATCACTCAATCAGTATTAAAACGATAGATCGAATAAATTTCGATGAGGTGCCCAAGTTGTCGGAAATTTCTACTTTTGCCAATTTAGCATTAAAGTAGGTCCTTTTAAGTAGGAGATAAAGTACATTTTTAGTATTAGTGAAAAAATATAATGTCATCAAATTAGGTTATTGCTGGTCTATGTAGGTGTATATTATAGATCAGCTAAGTAGGTGTAAATTGTCCTTAAAAGTGTCAAAATAGTACCAAAATTTCGACTCGGGTGGTCTGCATTTTTTTTACGGATTAAAATATATGCAATCGCCAAATGATCGCAAGTTAAAAGTCCGATAACAATAATCGAGAGAAATCCCAGTAAAATCGCACATTTTCGTGAACACCCCGCTGTTCCTCCGTCAGCTTAATGGAAGACGAAAGTCAGGAACCATTAGCATTCACGTACTGCACGCTTGTCGCTTTTTGGAAATACAACTTGGGAGGGCAGAGCCGCTAACGTGATCGACGCGTGAATGCAAAGGAACCGATTTGTAATAAAGGGACGCGGGGGAAGCACGGAGGAGAGTCGAAAGTCGAATCCCCTGGAAAGCGAGGTTCCCGCCGGAACTCCAGAATTCGTCGCATTAATATGGCGCGCGTGAGTCACGCGAGCGCGTTGTTAGTCGGCGGGCGTTCGGTTTTCTGTCGGCGATCGAGATGACGACGGTGATAACGACGGCGCATCGATGGCCGGCGTATGGTTGACAATGATGACGCATAATAGAAGGGATCGGCCACGCCGTTTTCCTTTGTCGTTGTTACCAGGCGAGAGGCGCGATGAGAATATCCCATTATTTACGCGGCGCGGGGCGTACGAGTTGACACAGAAATAGGCACCAGAAGTCGCATACGCGTCCGCGTCGTTTAACGCAATTACCTCTGCTGCCGTGCAGGCGTGCGTGAAATTCCAATATCGTTGTTACAGCCATTTCCATTACCGAGTACCGTGCTTTCATGTGCGCGAAGAGGCATGGGATGTAACGTAATTTAGCGATATCTTTTCCTCTTTTGTAGCGACCAAATCTAATATTTTTACGAACATTTCGTGGGATTTGTATAAAGATTTTACAAAATGAGACTTTATGGTTCTAAAATTTTCAATTAATTCTTCTAATGGTATTATAAAAGTTGTACAATCAAGAAGAAATTTTCCGCAAAACGGGCATTAAAAAGGAGCCATTATATTCACAGATGGCAGAAACATTTTCTCTTAGACAATCGAGATTAATTCGTTTGTAATATACTATCACAAACATTTCGTCTAAACTTTTATCCAAATGTATTCTTAGTACAGACGATATTAAGATCCTTATCTCTCTCTTTCTCGTATCCTTTTAATGACGGCCTACTCAATTAAAATGTTATCCTCAGACGAGCATCCACGTTTACCGGGACTTTCCATTTAATTTGGAGCGTGGTGTCCTTGGACACTTGGCCCGGCAGCAATTTGGGAACAGCCTGTATGGCATTAAGTGATGGACCAAGCGAACCGATACAGCCACGTACAAGAGTAATATCCCGGAGTGCGAGAGGACGCAATACGACACGAGGGTGCCGTACCGGGGAGGAGGAGGAAGAGGAGGAGGAGGAGGAGGAGGAGGAGGAGGCAGCGCGCAGCAACTCTCCGCGCGCGGGCACAAGGGTCAGCTACAGATTTTTGCGGGCAGGTCGGACCGGCATTGGGCAGCTGGCGTGCGGTCAGCCGCTCTGCCCGCAGCGTTGCGTCGGTCGTGCATCACCGGCCACCGTATTAACCCCAAGCCCCGACGTACTCGGCCAGTACCGCAGGCCGCAGAGTCCACGGTCCATGGGTGCCCGTGGATCCCTTGCGAGTCCTCCACGTTCCGCCGTATACCTCATTACCTTCCCCTCCCGCCGTTTTATCCACCGTCGTCCGAACCACGGTCATATCGCCCACAGTCAACCGCGATACCTGGCGCTCTCGACAAAAGATATAACTGTACGTTGCAAACGTGATCCGGCCCCGAATGTGACAGATGGAAGAATGAAAAGGGAAATAATAGGCGCGACACGCTTTCTTCTAAGAACGAAACTTTATCCATTTCTCTCCGAGGGTTAAGTCTTTACTCGAGATGCCAGTACATCGGCATCATCGACGAGGGAACCTGACCGCGTCGGGTGGAAGTTCGCGCAGAGAGATTCCAGACGTAGTTGATCACGCGCCGATACGGATGGCTGGTAGAAAGGTGAAAAGATAGGCGGCATCGAAGGGCCATTGAGAGGAGAGCTCTAGCACGGGCTCATATTCCATATAATGAGAGCAGCAGCAACATCAGACAAGCCGACATTGCCGGAGTAATCGAAAGCCGCCGCGCTGGCCAGGCTGGCGAGGCTAATAAAGCAGCGCTTTAGACCGATAAAGTAATTTCGATTGGCGATAACCGATAATTGAGAGAACGAGTGCTCGTCCGGGTCTCTCGGCGCGGCTACGAGATGATTCGCGCGAAAGTTGGTAAAAGGGTGAACGCACACTTTCTCGAAATAACGTCGGCCTCGCTATTCTTTTACCTAAGATACGCAGAGCTCGCGGGCCCGCTGACGCGTGCACACAATAACGCGAAATCCTAAATTTTAAACCCTCCGATCTCCAGTGATAAATCACTATCCATCGACGGCTGAAACTGCCGTTAATCTTTTCTAATTCGGTTGTCCTCTGGATCGACTACTATGTGCGCACGTGACTTCCTCGTACATGATAAATGATCGCAACAATATTAATAAAACATACTTCGTACTTACATACTACGGTGATCCGCACGATGAGTATGCGTATATCCGTCCATCCGAGGTGTATGGGCAGGCGGGCACGAGGCGTGAAACAGAAAAGACGATAGTTACACGTATCTGCGCGTCAGCCTCGTTAGTATTAATTAAGACCTTATTTATATAGCGCAAACGCGCAAGCACGATTTACATATACGTCGCGTGGCCGCCGAGCAAACAAAGTTCAGCGTCGCGCCGCAGATCCATCATCGTTGTCATTACCGCGTTGCGGCGGACCGGCGATTGTGGAGACGAATTATCGCCGGTATATACGTCGACGATTGTTGACAGGCAGCAATCATGCCGTTGGTTCGCGGCCGACGATCGTGTACTGGCGATGGCCAGCGATACGGTATAATGTCGCGGCCGCAGTAAAGGCTTATCCAAACAATACGATTTCTAGCGCGTCGCCCCGATATCGTTTCCAAAAATCCCCCCCTCTCCCCCCCCCCCCGGTAACGTTGATACCAAATGCCGCACGCGACATTTCGAGCGTTACTGTTGCCGCTAATCTCTACTGCTGTTGCACCTTATGCAATTGGCGCCTGAGTACCGTATCGTTTGAATAGGGCTTAAGGGCTCAGCTCCGCGTGCAGACCGTCGAAACAAGGATCGCGATATCCGCGCGATCCGCCGAGACGTTGGCGAGGAAAACTCGAGGAGATTTCCAAGGCAAAATAGCGGTCGGAAGCGTGCAACGACGCGCGCGAGGCTACGCCGGCGATCCGTCATGATCAAGCGGGAGCTGTGATTTAATTGTCACCGGTAGCTCCGTGACGAGATGGTGGAAAGTGCGCAGGGTCGGCTAAGTCGCGAGGCAAGAACCCATCCAGCAAGAGAGGATTAACCGCTCTGCGCAACTTACAAGAGTCGCGTACAAGAAGCGTCGGTGGTTTATTCGGGAGGTCTCCAGTTTTCGTCGAACAGCGGTCCGCTTTCGATTTTATGCAAGGCTTATTTGCGCTGAATGCCCTCAGAATTCTTTATATTCCTCGAGACTGCGGAATTCAATTTCGGACAAACGCAGGAAGGTTTCCTTTACGGGGAGTACCGATATTTGTACAATATTTCATTTGAATCAGTTTCCGCTTCTTCCGTGTTTCAACCACAACGAAATATCTCCTAGCGTAATGCAGAAGAATTGAGGCGCGCGGAGCACTTTTTTTCTGAAAGCAAGCAGCGCGGCCCTGGCCGCAGGAAGGCAATAATTGAGGAGGAAGGGCGGATTGCGGGGTTAAGATCGACTCGATTCCCGTTGGTGGAAACGCAACGGTGTTTCGCGAATCTCGTCCAACGAGCGGACACGATATCCAACGAGTCGGGCAATTATAAAACTGCTGTAGAGAGTCACCGCCACCGCGAAACACATGTCGCCCTCGTACCACCCCCGGA